CTTTTCCTCATTTATATTGGTCTATTTACATTTCATTTGGTTTATCTGTAACAAAACTCCCTCCAGGCAAAATCAACCACTTTCGTGTAATAGAAGAAATCTTTTTCAGGCCTTATATCTGGCTTCCTAATACTCTTTTCACACTGGTTTTGCTTAACCCCGTACTTTGCTTAGCCCCGTACTATCCTTAACCCCGGACTATTTTTTTGGCTTTTCACACTCGCTGTTTTTAGTCCCGTACTAGCGCCTATTCCGGAATAAGAAAATTCCCGCTGTTCTCACTGCATTTCGTTAACCCCGGATATCGTGTATGTTATGATTGGACATACTTCGCATCTGGCCAGCTGCGATACGCTCCATTGCGTAGTACCGGACTATTTTTCGTTTCTGTTCTCATTCATTTACTTAGCACCGCAATTGCGGGGTTAGCAGGAGTTAGCACCACAATTGCGGAGTTAGCCCTGCTATTTTGCAGGGTTAGTTAACCCCGTACTATAGGTGGGGTTAGCCAACTTTAGCCCACTTTGGTAAAAACCAGTCTGAACAGAAAGTGGAATAGGCTTAACCCCGTACTATAGGTGGGGCTAAGACCCCCCCTTAACCCCACCTATAGTACGGGGTTAAGCAAAATATTGCCAGTGTGAAAACAGTATAAGACTAAGATGTAGCTTATCGGCTCATCAACTTAAATGTGAAACCATAGTGAACACTGAGGACTGCAGGTGTTTAGTTCTTTGCGATTGTATCCAATATACAAAATCAAGGCCTGTAACTAAGATTTTAGTGGGGGGGGGGTGTAGACATTATATGGGGTTAGCGAGCAGGGGAGGGTCTGGGAGGGGGATGTCCCCACTCCCAGGGTAGTCTAAAAAATCAAGTTTTAGGTACAATTTTGAACAACAAAACAGTTTCACTAATAAATGTGTGCTACCTTACAATCAATATATTTTTTTTTAGCAGCCCTCTTGTACATACATGATATCATTTTCATCATGGAGTTTCATGAATTTTTTTTTTTTTATAAGACCCCTGTTGACTGGACATGGATGGATGGATAACTGGTTTATTAATGAAAAACATCATTGCGGCACAGCTGAATCGCGATGAGTTTACAAATATGCCTTTTAAAAAGACATAAATACATTTGTACAAACATTTAAAATACAAATTCAAAAACATATTGCATATAACAAATTTAAACTGCATCAAAAATTGATATTTTTGTTATTATGATAATACTGTGGAGTAGTAGTAGTATATAAGTTTAAAGTTAAAATCCTAAATGTTGGTAAATCATAGTAAAGAAAGAAAAGAACAAAGTGAAGGGAGGAAAATATGAAGGAGGAAAAAAGGAACAAAAGTAATAGAAGAAGAACAAGAATAAAAATTGAAGAACAAGGAAAGGGAAAGGAAAAGAAACAAAAACAACATATTGCCTGACTAGTGATTAACCTCACTCCACAGAGAAAATTACAGTGTGTGTCTTTTAATCATCCCAACCCCAAGTGTGCTCACGCATGCATGCACAAACACACCATCTGCCTGAGTGTCGATCTCAAAACATACTTATAAAGAAAATAATAAAAATATGCTAAAGGAGGCTTTAAATTTCCTTCTCTTTTTTAACATTCCTCCTAATCACCCCTTCCAACTTCTAATATTCTATTCTCTTCCTCTTTCAGCTCAATTCCTCCTCCTCAAGATCCTCTTTCTCTTCCTAGTTCATCCTCCCTATACCTCTTTCTCCTCAGCTCCTCCTCCCTTCTCTCAGTTCCTCCTCCTTCTTTTCCTTTTTCTCTATACCTCCTCTTTCTCTTCCCCTTTTTCATCCTTTTCATCTGCTTCTGTTTCCTTTCTCTTCCATTTCCCTTACTTTCATTTTTTCATTTTTTTCTTCAGAGTCTGCATTGGGGTCAAATGCATCTATAAAAATTATGACACTGAATTCACTCGTTTTTCTACTGTTCTCATGCCCCAATCAATTTTTAAAACATTTTTATACATTATTCCTACTTAATAGTAGACAAATTATTAGTAAACAATAATTTTTGGAGTCACCGAGGCCCATAGTTTAACCAGTACCTCGAATAGAAGTATTAGTAAACAAAGTATTTAAGTAAAGTCCAAAATTATCTCACCTCTTTCAGTGCAACCGTAAATGAATCGTACTGATTAGTCCTGTTGTGAACCGAAATCTTCCTCGCAAGTAATTCTCGCTGAAAATCCATGTCAAAAACCTCAGAATTCCTGCTGGAAGTGATGCTCCTCCGACTCGTTGATCCATTCCTTCCAAAAGTACCTGTCGCTGGAGGGTTATGCCTGCGATGCAGAGCGAGGAGATGGGCCAGGACTTTCGGCTCTGTGAGTACCCCGATGCTGGACCTCCGACTGGTGATGATTTCGAGTGCTTGCTCGGCAGCTTGTTCGGCCGCAGTTTTGATGAATTTCTCGATGACATCGGTACTTAACGAAGACATCTTGAGCTTGTGCTTATGTTCGAGGAGAGCAAATAAGGATTAGGTCAACAAAGTCACAAAGTCATGACCACTTCACCTGTTATTCCTTTCATAAATTCGACGCTGCCAATACCAGCATAGCGGCGATATTGTGTTCGGTCGCCGATAGATGAGAGTCGGTCGGTCGTCTGCAATATGAATCAGTCCCTCCGTGCAAAACGAGACGAGCATCGCAACATATTGCATAATCCGAATGTCCTGATCACGCATATCATCTCCATCTGATATGGAACAGACAGTTATCAATTTGATTTCCAGAAGGGGATTGGGGCCGCGAGCGTGGAATCCTTGCTTTGATATTTTCTATGCTTATATATATGTTTGTTTGTTTATCCTTTTTTAATATAAATTGCATTTTTGTTCTTGCTTTGTTTTGTTTTTATCTTGTGTTGTTGTTCTTTTGTTTTGTTTCGTTTTACTTTCTTTACTTTTCTCTTCCAATTGTTGTGTTGTTGCTAGCGGCAACGAAATTTTGTTATGGGTAGTACGTCAATCTTCATAATATTCACACCAATAGGGGAAGGGACCGGGTGCACATCAATTTGGAAAGAAATCTAAATACATCATTTTAAACCATTCTTCTATGGAATCAGTTAGAGAGGATTGAATCTGTAGAAAATTAGTGTGGGGAAAGGATTGTTCCTTTACTTCACAAAAATACGTTATTTTAATCATAGCCAAACGATGACACCCAAGCAATAATACTTTGATTTTGATATCATCTAAGGTAACAAACGGTGACATATCTCATTGTTAACATTTTCTCTTTTCGTACGTGTATTTCAAAATATCGGTGGCCTTTATTGTATTTATCGACCCTTCTTACATGTTTCCTTCAACGCGACAATGCGGTTCAGGAACATACTAATTTATATAACCTTCTACTGGGAAGAATAACTAGTCACTAAAACATGATAACATCATCCTTTTTCCTAAGCCATGACATTAATGCAAAGCCCGTGTCCTCAATATCATTAATTCATATCTCACTGACTGATGCAAAATAATTGTTTTAAACTGGTCATGACATTTTCCGCGCTGGTGGATTTTGATTACTTTTGATGTTGATAATTGGGACATTAAGCCGACAGACATAGATTTTTTTTCCCCGGGAATGATAACATTCGGCAAAAGCTATATTTGCAAAAAGGAAATTATAATTTCGTGCCGATATAGAGTTTATTAAACGTTTTATAAACAAGTTTTAAAAATTATTTCGATATTCCGAAATTTCTCAAAATAAAGGCACACCCATCACAAAAATAGTGCATGAATCTGTACGGGGGGGGGGGGGGTTGAAATTGTATAGAAAAATTATGATAAAGTATGATAGACGTTCTAATCTTTAATTCTACTGAAAATGAATGAGGGGAAGATAAACCAGGACCAGAAAGTTGGAGGAAGAGGACGGAGGAGGAAAATAAGTAGAATATGAAGAAGAAGAAGAAGAAGAAGAAGAAGAAGAAGAAGAAGAAGAAGAAGAAGAAGAAGAAGAAGAAGAAGAAGAAGAAGAAGAAGAAGAAGAAGAAGAAGAAGAAGAAGAAGAAGAAGAAGAAGAAGAAGAAGAAGAAGGAGGAGGAGGAGGAGGAGGAGGGGGAAAGAAGAGGAACTGAAGAGCGACGAAATAGAATGAAGAAGAAGAAGAAGAAGAAGAAGAAGAAGAAGAACGGAGAGGAGGAAGAAGAGGAACTGAAGAACGACGAAGTAGAATGAAGAAGAAGAAGACGATGAAGATGAAGAAGAAGACCGCAAATGCCTTTCAAGTGTTCTTATTCTAATTTATGACATTTCTAGTGCTCTAGGACGTAAAATTGATATGAAGGTAATTCTAGACCCCAAAAATGTGTGAAATTTAGCCAATACGATCATTCCATTTCAGCTCCACTTTAAAACAAATATGGTGACCGTTAATTAAGTATTGAATTAATAATAACAATACACGGGCCGGCTGGTTGTACGTAGTATAACCAATAACAAAAAGCCAACAATGGCATTGGCTGAAATAAAACGTATAAGGGGCTAATATCTCGTGTTTTTTTTTTTTAACGGCTGGTTCAAAATTATCGAATATTTGTGGTACCCACACGTTACTCTCTCCCTATTCCTCTTGTTTTGTTTATGTTTTTGTATGATCTGTCAAAATGTCATTGTATTGTGCTTTTATGATTGGCCTAATAATAGATAATAATAATAATAATAAAAATAATGTATAATGCAATATGATGATGTTGATGATGGTGGTGATGATGATCGCCGATGACCATGATAATGATGATGTTGATGATGATGATTACCATTATTATGATGCAAGATGGTAATAATGACGATGGTGAAAATGAGGAAAACAATGACATGTAAATCCTCGAGAAAATAAATCACTGAAAACAAAACGAATATGTTTTTTAACTCACATATCCCTGGTTTTTTGTTAAATTAGAAATGATTATTCATCCAGGGAGGTGTTTTAAATATCCCTGATTCATCCATGGGCTCAACTTCTCTACTTACTTTTGGAATTACGCCATCTTACGTCAGCCGGCGGGTTAACACGTGAAAACACGATGGCTGAAGGAGAGTCAGATCCCGTTGTTGAAGAGGTGGGTTTTTTTTACTTAAAACTGAATAAACTATCTTGTTTAATGATTAGAAACATGACGAATATTTAATTGATGAATACTGTGATGTAACGAGGTGCAAAAAACAATGACAATACGTGTTTTTAAATGTTTGTTGGTGTGTGTTTGAATAGACAGGAAAAGCTTACACGAAATAAAACATGTGGGACCTGTATAGAGTAAATAAAAACTACTCTGGTATTATTTTGAAAAGGAAATTATGCTGAGCTGAAACAACATTTATCAGGATCAGTATACCACTAATTATATACTGGATTCAGAATATTATCTATTATGAATTGACTAGACCATTGATTGATTTATATTTCTCTGAATTGTTGAGGCTGAGCGTGATGATAATTCACAATCATTTCATGAATGATGTGTTTGATTCCGACTTTTTGCTTTGAATTGAAAGTGAGGTGAGAGTTATGAAACATAATTTTGTGTGTGTGAGAAGTTAAAACCTTAATAATCCTCCTATTATTTAACTGTGACTTAAAGATAAACTTGAGTACTGGTAATGCGATTGCATTGTGAAAGAAAAGGTGTAGAATGAATCAGAAAACTTGATCATATAGCATGTAAGTAATGGTGTGTAATGCAAGGTTCTAGAGTCATCAAAATCATCATAAATTTGGCAGAGTCTTGGTAAAGTAACAATCACTTACACAGATAGATGTATATGGGACAACACACATGGTGTCGGGGCTAGTACTACCCCGATGTCCTTATCTTTCTATGCTCATTACTCAGCCAGTATACATTTTCTTCCAAAATTGTTTGGCACGTGACATTTATTTGTAATCTTGAACATTCAGTGTAAGTTTCGTTAGATTCTGTGAGAATTCATTTTCTTTTTTTTACCAGAACTCAAGTTTATCTTTAAGCCATAGACTATTGATCAGTAGGGGCGCTGGTCCGAGAATAAGGATCGTCCACATAAACGAGGATCGTCTTCATAAACGTGGACAGACGCGTCTTAAAAATAAGGGTTGTCTGCATTTTTCGTGGATGTGCAATCACTGCCAGATGATTGCTATAACATAATTAGTTTCCAACTTTTCATAGTAATTAGTATGAACTTCCTTGTATTTATTGCAATGTGAAAAGAACAGAGAAGATTTGTTTTAATTCCTTTTTTTTCCTGTCAATATTTAATTTAGTCAAGAATGCTGTTAGTGCTTAGGGAAAAGGGGAATTCCTTTGGTATTTTATCATATTTTCTCCCTTCTTTTTCCTCTGCAGGTTGATGTCTACCTTTCAAAGGAGTTGGCGGATAACCTTTACTGTTTTCAGGTAACACAACACTGCTTTTTTTTGTGTATATGCACACACCCTTTTATTTACATATTTCAATCTTTATTAGTCAACTCCATGTATAGGATGACACCCACATTAGAATTCAATTTTTGTAATTCTTGAACTATTTTCCTTCTTATTTTTTAATTTTGACGGACAAAGCCTGAGTGTCATGATGGCTCAAAAAGTTTTTTTTTCTTCAAGCATTGAGTTTGAAAACTCCACTATAGAAAACACTCTTCTATAGTCAACACTTGAAGCATTACATTTCAAGAAATAGGGAATAGTAAATCTTTCTCCCAATCTTTCATATATTATTTTTTTGTATAAGGTACATGTTTTTATTTGATTTGTTTTCTTTTAAGGAATAGGAAAAAGTAACACATTCTTCCATGTGTTATTTGTTGTATACATGTATTTATTTGTTGTGTTTTCTTCTTTTATAATCTTTCCTATGCAGTATCCAGTTCGTCCTAGTCACATGTCCTATGATGAGTTTGAGTACACCTCGGCTCGGATCAAGCCAAAACAGAAGAAGGTAAAGTAAGGCTGTGAAGGGTAGTCGAATGCTCGAGTACCCGCACGGTTGACAACTACTCGGGTACGATTTCTCGTACCCGAATATTCGGCAACAAAAAAAATATTTTTTTTTTAAATGTCCAGGCCGACGCTTACCCGTGCCTGGGTGAGCGGCGGCCGCTGGCATGGTGCTGTCGGTAAAAATGTTTCCCAACTCAAGCACTGTCAAACTCACCACTCAGAAACTGGGACCAAATGTCTGGATATCTGCCATCCTTGGTTTTTAAAACAGCATTGTTCACTGTTATTATTATTATTAAATCGGCGCCTTCAACTGCAACTCAAAGTAAAATTGCATGCGTTTTCGGCAACAGAACTGGGATACTGCTCCAGTGGTATGTATGGTGGTGGCAAAAAAATTTTTTTTTTTAAATTAAAAAAAAAAAAAATTAAATAAAATTAAAAAAAAAAAACAACATGGCGTCCGAATACTCGAGTATTCGCTTGTAAACATAGGAGTGTACTCGGGTACCTCATTACACTGTTGTGCACAGCCTTAAGGTAAAGTCACTCATCATTCTTTTCTCTTGTTAGCCAGAGCGCAACAATATTTTTATAAAGTAAAGTAAAGTTTTGAAGATATATATATATATATATAATAATATCCGTAAAGCGCTTAATAGAGACGTTATTCCATATTAAGCGTTGTATAAATCCAGATTATTATTATTGTTATTATAGTATAGTAGTCGAAACAATGAATGTTTTTAAAAGCAGTGATGAACCCCCTTGTAATTGAGCCCCAACTGATCTTTAAAATCAGAAATCATGCTATTATAAGTAATATATTATATCATCATCAACATGTGTCACATAATTAAAAATTTTGTGTACCGGTACAAGTTACATCATAGGTTGTGTATTTGTAACCAATCAGATTGATCTCAAGTTTTCTATCTTTGTATAACATGTTGAAATCAGTCTTTAATTCTTTGAATGGGGGAGGGGGGGGGGGGGGGGTAATTCTGTGAAAAGTGATTGAAACTAATTTATAATAATTAATTTATACGTAAACAGTTGGAACTGGAGCTGTCTCTGGACACACAAACTGATCACTATGCTAAAGGAAAAGGAGAGCAGATCGCCCTCAACGTAGATGGAATAAACAGCACAGAAAACAGGTCTTTCATGAGGTAATTAGCACTATCTTCTATATTTTACAAATTTCTGAACAATATTTTACATTTACCTAATTTCTTAACATTGCTAAACATTTTAATTCCTGAACAAATTTTACATTTATTTATTTTGTGAACAATAAATAACTTTTTTTTTATTCCTGGACATTGTTAAACATTTTCCTAATTCCTGAACAATATTTAACATTTTACTAATTTATGAACACTATTCAACATTTTAGTAATATCTGAACATTGTTTTACATTTAACCAATTCCTGAGCAATGTTTAACATTTGTCTTTCATGACACTTTCAAAACTAAGATAGAACTTGTAATGAACGATGTTATTTTTTATATACATGTGTCTCTTTGTCGCATAAGTATAAAATATCTCAACTTTTCTTGTTATTTCACAGTGATGTGATGGACCGTCAGATGTTGACTTCTACCAACTCAATGGACTCTATGGCTAAATATGCAGTAGGAGTCTTGAAAGGAGGTAAGAAAAGGACTGAATATTGAAAAGAAATCCACTTAAAAACTGAAGTATTACAGAATTATCTGAATCATCTTTAGAAGTGTGTTTCATGCTTAGCTCTGCATACATGAGAAGTGTACAAGAAGTATGTGATGATCAGAAATGTGGTAGATGAAAATAGTTTCACCTGATTGTTTCAAGGAAACCAATAGCTGTCCACAGTGCTTTGTTAACATGTGTCATGGTCTAGTGGATATGTCACTGGACTATAAACCATGTGGTTCAGGGTTCAATTTTCTGCTGTGGCACTGAAATCACATGGCAAGGCATTAAACTTTGTTAAACACTCTCCACCCGGGTGAAGTAAATAAGTTCCCAGAAGAAAGAAATCCTTGAATGCTTGAGGGCTCTATCATCGTAACTCAGCTAGAGCTTGGGTTATATTATAAACCCAGGGAAAAAATTAATATTTCTTTTTCGGGGGCTACTTTTCTTCACCTGGATGGAGAGTGGCAAATGTAGTTTAATGTCTTGTCAAATGATTTAAGTGTTAAACTATAATAACCCACAGCTTTACCTCTGTAACCTCAGCTCGGCTCAAGAATGAATGCCTAGATCCAACGATCATCTTGTTATTATTATTCTTCTTATCTGTTTCCAAGGTGAGCTGCACCTCACACCTCTTCATAGCATTGTCCAACTCAGACCAAGCTTTGAATACCTGGACAAGGCTGACAGCAAGATCAAACAAGAGAAGATGGAGGTCGATGGTAAGTTACGCTCAGCTCTGGTAAAGAGGGTTGTTAAAGCCTATCTGCACTACTTTGGCAAGGAGGGATGAGACCTCCCTGCGTGGTCATTGACAGGTGGTTATCTCATCAAATCAGCTCTCAATTAACATACATGTAAGAAAAAGGGGATCATAGGGGACTAATGGGTGATGCTTAGGCATTGTTTGCTATATATAGGGCGCAAGTAATGCAGTCCTGCTTTTAATAATCACTGTTCTACTAACGACCGTTTTCCTCATTCACATTCAAATCAGCTCTCGATTAACATACATGTAAGAAAAAGGGGATCATGGGGGACCAATGGGTGATGCTTAGGCATTGTTTGCTATATATTGGGCGCAAGTAATGCAGTCCTGCTTTTAATAATCACTGTTCTAGTAACGACCGTTTTCCTCATTCACATTCAAATCAGCTCTCGATTAACATACATGTAAGAAAAAGGGGATCATGGGGGACCAATGGGTGATGCTTAGGCATTGTTTGCTATATATAGGGCGCAAGTAATGCAGTCCTGCTTTTAATAATCACTGTTCTAGTAACGACCGTTTTCCTCATTCACATTCAAATCAGCTCTCGATTAACATACATGTAAGAAAAAGGGGATCATGGGGGACCAATGGGTGATGCTTAGGCATTGTTTGCTATATATTGGGCGCAAGTAATGCAGTCCTGCTTTTAATAATCACTGTTCTAGTAACGACCGTTTTCCTCATTCACATTTCTATTACTTGTTTACCATCGTGATTATAACGTTAATGGTATTGCAAATTTTGCACATCAACATCAAAATCATAAGCAGCAATGACATCATGATTACGTTACCAAATAAATCATCAACAGGATAACCAACAACACTCTGACAATCATCCCGTAAAAGAATCTGTCAGTGTTACTAACAACAACATTTAACATTTACTCATAAAAAAACATAAACATACCGGTAGTCATTTTTGTTACTTTCATCAGTGACAGTTCTTACTACAACATCTTGTATTTGTATGGTGACAAATGACATCCCTTTTTGTTTTTAGATAGGAACTTCCATGAGCCTCTTTAACACTGCAATATTCTCAATTTAGTCCATTGTAAATAAGAATTAATCCATTACCTCAACATGCAAGGAAAAAATAGAAATAAAAATAAAAATAAATAATTGAACGAAACAAAACAAAACACTCTCCATCTGCACTTCTTGCATCATCTTCCAACATCACTTCCTAATAATTTGAGTCCCATCTTTTTTTTCTCGATCTTTGTCTTTCAGCTGGAGACTCCCAGGATGAGGAGGATGTCAAGCCGGTCACTGTGCAGATGGTCAGGCATGAGACTGACCAGGCCAAGGCCAGACGACTCGCCTCCTACGAGTACCATGCCAAGAAGATGGCCGAGGAACAATGGATCCACATCCATCACAGAGCTCTTGAAGTAAGTACACTGTAGACCTGGGGAGTGTTTCACAAAGCCTTTTTTCAATGACAAACAACAAAAATCAGTGACAAATCTGCTGATAACCAATCAGAAGCAAGGATTTCAGTAGCTTATAACAAAAATTGTCATTCGTCACTGATGTCAAGTTTCGTGAAATTGGGCTCTGAACCTACCAATTGTCACTAAAAGATTGTGAGCTACTTGGGGCTATGGCAATGCCTTTGCTGCAATAGGAAAAAGGAAGCAATGTAAATCAATGTATGTAGGATTGAATTTCTTGATGTAAGAATATTCAGAGCTGGATTGATTTGAACCCATTCTGTGCCATTTACAAAGACACCATATTCATAGATGAACCTCTAATAACCAGACTCTAAATCTTTTCTTTGTCTTGTTGCAAAATTGGAAAAATCTTCCATAGACACAAACTTGACAATGCGTTCCTTGTTTCTGTTTCATAGTCCTGATGTATAATTCAGACTATTCCGCATGTGTCTATGTAAAAGATCTTATACTTGACACTGGCTACTAAACTCTACAATTTTGACAAACTAATAATGGACAGTAGAGCAGCAATTTCACAAGGATTTTTTGTTTAAAAATGGACAAAAAACACCACATAGATGATTAACTTTGGAGTTTTAGACTTAAATATATTTTAATCCGTGAAATTTCTATTTACTTATATATATTTATTTATTTATTATTTTAGCAGAGTGGCTCTATCAGTAGTTAAATATTGTTTTGCGTGGAGGCCCTACAACATAAATACACAATTTATTCGAGACAAAATAAATTTAGTTACAACATTTTCAAACAAAAGAAAAGAAACGATAAACAACACAATAGACCAGTTCAATAATCAAGATTATCATAACGCCAAAACAAAAGAGTACGTGAAGAAGAATTTGATGGCGCATTTCTTAAAAAATAAGATTAACTATTCAAAAGAGCAGCACCATCAAATGAAAAATTTGTTTTCCCATCTGTGTTTTATTTTGGGTAAGATAAATCCTATTTAATCTGTTTAAATGGAACTATTGATTTAAAGCCATAGTAGTATTGTTTTCTTTCTTCTTTCTTTTCCAGGACTATGAATCAGAGAGAGAAAGAGAGCACCTGTTCTGCCAGGCAATGGACAGCGAGATCAACCAGCTTTCACTGCCACCAAAGTATGCTCATTCATTCAACTTCCTTCATCCCATACACATGTTTAGTTTGTGCTACACAGGGAATGGGGTATAAACCTGTCTATAAAGACCACCAACAGTTAGAAAAAAAGTAACAGGGGGCCTTTCTAGACAGGTTCCACAATACTTTTTTTCTTCCAAGAGCATGATGATACATGTGGCCCCTATAGGCAAGTGGCCTTTATTGAGAGGTGGTCACTGAGGGAATGGGATACAAACCTGTCTATAAAGACCACCCAACAATTAGAAAAGAAAGTATCACTGTAGACAGGTGTCATAACTAGTCCGATTCCTAAACACATTTGTATTCCAAGAGTGAGATGATACATGTGACCACTATAGGCAAGTGGCCTTTATGTAGAGGTGGTCGCTGAGGAAATGTAGGTATAAACCTGTCTATAAAGACCACCCAACAATTAGAAAAGAAGTAACCCCTATAGACAAGTGGCCTTTGTAGAGAGGGAGACAATACAAATGACCATTATGAACAGGTGGTCACTGAGACAGTTTTGACTGTATATTGAAGTGCTGTTTCTTGGAAAGTTTTGTCATATCTGATCAAATGTGCAACTAACATTTAAGATTCATTCAAGCCTCAAACAAAAGTGGATGTGAATGTTTGACTGGTTGCTATTTTCTTTCTAAATATTAATTGTAGTGAAATCTTGGAAATAACCTGTTTGTAACAAACAATATTCAGTATGTGTTGCAATTATATTTAATTCCTCCATTCCCCCCTCTTTTTTCCTCTTTCAGAGATTATTCAACTTTTTGAAATAAAATCATATTCATTGTGTGTTGCATTTGAGTTAATAATTAATTGATACCCCCCTCTTTTGTCCTCTTTCAGAGATTATTTAACGTCGCTGATTCCTGAGATGGAGGAGGATTCACTCGCCAAGCCTAACATGCCAGTCAACATTCTATCTATGTCACAACTCAAGACAATGTCATTGCCAGATCAAGTCAGGGCTCTCCTAATCAATGGTAAAACATAACATTTTTCCTCTTTTGTATGTTAGGAATTTTATGATAAGAATGTTTTTCTGGGAATCTGTTTAATGTATTGCCATGTTTAGAGGGTTATCATTGTCATTCGGTGTATATACATGTATGTATTACTTTTAATGAGATACATGGCCTGTCTACTGATGTGCAATTGTGTTTTCAATTCTGTTCTTGTTGTTCCCATTTTTCTTGCAGCAAAATCAATCCGTTTCTCTCAGTTGATGACCATTCTGCCCGGAAACTATGACCAGGTGTCGGTCCTTCGAGCCCTTCAGATGGTAGCCCTGCTGGTCCAGGGCTGCTGGGTCGTCAAGAGGTGGGTAGATGAAATCTAACATTGTCTGTCTGTTTGTCTGTTTGTCTGTCTGCCTTTCTCTCTCTCTCTCTCTCTCTCTCTCTCTCTTTTTCTCTCTCTTTCTCTTCCTCTTTCTACTTTTTTCCTCCATTGCTGTTCCTTCAAGCCCTTCAGATGGTAGCCCTGCTGGTCCAGGGCTGCTGGGTCGTCAAGAGGTGGGTAGATGAAATCTAGCATTGTCTGTCTGTCTGTCTGTCTGTCTTTATGTCTGTCTGCCCGTCTCTCTCTCTCTCTCTCTCTCCCTCTTTCCTCAATTGCTATTCTTTGAACCCTCCAGATGGTAGCCCTACTGGTTCAGGGCTGCTAAGTCGGCAAGAGGTGAATAGATGGAATCTAGCATTGTCTGTCTGTCTGTCTGTTCATCTGTCTGCTAGTCTTTATGTCTCTCTTTCTCTTTCTCTCTTTCTCTCTCTCTTCCCCTACCTCTTTCCTCAATTGCCGTTCATGGAGCCCTTCAAATGATAGCCCTGCTAATCCAGGGTTGCTGGGTTTTTAGAGGTGGTGGATGACAGCTTGCATCGTCTGTGTGTCTGTTTGTTCTGTCTCCCCCTCTCTTTGTCTCTCTGTAATTTTCCTTCTGTCTCTCATTCAATATTTCCTCACTGTCTCCCTGATCTTCTTTTTCTATCTGTTGAATCTGTTAACTGTGAGATTATTACTAGAAGAGTGGTTTAAATTAACACCTTTTTCATGATATTGATCAGCCATGTCATTAATGGTCCTTTAATGTCTGTACTCTCTGATATAATCTCATGGTTACTTCAGAGACCACGGATCTTAAAGTTGATACTCTAAGCAAATAAATGTCCCTTAATTTGTTACCTACGGCAAGTATATGTTATTTTTAAGTTTTTCAATTACTTAGTATATCACAAAAAAATTCTGTCTACTCGAAATCCTCAATTGAAATGTCTAAAATATCCGCCTCTCTTTGCATAGAAAATCAGTCACGGCGCTGGTCTACTATTTATGACCTCACGTCCGGGAGAGAGTATATTCACGTACCCGGATGTTCCATAGCAAACATGTGCAGAGTGATACGATTTTCTGCATATTTTTGTTTCAAAGGCTGAAAAGTCTAATAAATCATAATTCTATGTACAATTCTTTACCTTCCCCTAGTACTTCATAGTATTAATATCAATTCCCCTTTTAAAAATTATGACATATACATGCCAACGATGTGCTATTAGTCGATATTTTCACCATGTAATTTTTGTTTTGGTGTTGAAATCGGCCCAGGCACGGAGTGAACAGTAGCTGTCTACCCATGCACAGTTCATTACCATACACTACAGCGATCTCCCGATGGTTTCTTCTTCCTTTTTCCCATGTCTTTCGCCTTCCTTGGCCCTGAACATCCTTCATCTACCAATTCTGACACCGGTAGTCAGGAGCAAGTCTTTGTTAGTTGTTTTTCTTAGCTGGCAACGTCCCTTTCATTCTCTTGCAATTGCCGATAAATAAACATATAACTAGCGCACGTACGTTCCATCACAAGCAAGCAGCGCCTAGAGCAGCGGCTTGGTCTTACCTCCCGATTCTGCTCGCTTCACGAACGTTCATGCAAGAGCCGCATCACTTGCCAAAATATTATAGAGGAAGCGCGCTTGCATGATCTCGTTCAAGTTTGATATTTTACAACATAAAATGTTTAACTGGTACTGTATCCTTTTTTGAGGCAGTCACACACATCTATGATAAGTACTATCATAGTTCTAGACCTATTCGTTTTACAAAACTGCTCATGTACATCTGATGACAATATAATGCATCCGCCTATTCATAAGTGCACGATTTAACTTTAATTCCTAAGCAGTAAACTCGTCTTAAATCTCTACCAAATAGGTGAATATGAGGATATAAAAAGAAATCAGCGACTGGAAAATGTTGCTTCGTTATTCTTCATTCAAATGAAAACAGAAAATCCATCAAATATACTCCTTAACAACAACAAATCTAAGCTCTGACAGGATAGCATTTACGTAGGGATATCACTGCCATTCATTCTCACTGAGCCCATGACTCCCGTTCGTGACGTCACGGATAGAGGCCCGACTCTACGTGCACTTCTGGGTTTCAGACTTAGATATTTTGGTAGAGTTTACTCGAATAAATTCATTATTCTAAACTTGTTTTGTCGGGTGGACACCATTTGGTTTTATTATGGGGGTTAAAAGCTTTCTATTTATGTAATTATCTCAGTATTTGAGATTGTCTTAGAGTATCAACTTTAACCAATTTATTTAAAGGTGCCACCATTAAGCTTTTCCCTGTGAAATTCTTCCCCATTCTCATTTACAGTGAGGTGTTGTACCCCAAGGATACCTGCAGTCCCATAAGTGGAGTATCAGCTGAGATCCTGTGTAGAGGAAGAGACTATGTGGTAAGAGATCATCCTGTGAAAATATATTTCAATGGACTATATATTGTAGAGGTGTTGTGGTCTAGTGGATAAGTCGCCAGTCTGTAGATCACAAGGTATGGGGTTCAAATCCCAGCCCGTCACTAACGTTAATCTACATTTGCCACTCTCTACCCAGGTGTTAAATGGGTACCCGGTAGGATGGGAAGGTTAATGTAGTATGCTTATCATTGTAAGCGGCTGAAAAATGGCTGGAATGCTCCTCAGGGAGTGGAGAATGTGCATACATTGTGTCGGGCAAGCCTGAATCCGATGACTGGGGGTAATGATATATCTGTAAAGTGCTTAGAAACATCGAAACACAGAGTATTATTAGTTTTATATTGACAGTCGTTGAATGTGTTATGCGTATGTATTTATTTGTTGGAAATAACTGAATAATTTAAGAGGTAGTTTTTATTTTAATCTTTATGTTAATGAAACAAAATTGTGTACTATATAGTGTTTTGATATGTTCTCAATAATAGTTCCATTTTTATATTTTTTCTTAGATGTGGAGATTTACTCAGAGTCGATGTGTGGTGAGGAAAGAAGTAGCATCTGTTACAAAGGTAAGGCTTTCAAAGAATCTTGCAAAATTATAAATTGTATTATCATTGTTGATTTACTTTTTCCAATCCTATTTGATTCTGTTTTTCTGTATAATTTTTTCTTTACGATGAAGCTGCTGAATTAAAAAAATGTGTTGGAGGCTTTTCTTTTGTATTCAGTTTATATGATTTTCCAAACAAAAAGCAATGCCTATTTCCAAATTTGTTGCATCATCTCTCTCTCTCTCTCTCTCTCTCTCTCTCTCTCTTCCTCCCCTATCTTTATCTGCTTATTAGAGTATCCCTCTTTCTTTCTTTTTTTTTACCTCTCCCTCTATCACAGATTTATAAACTTTTTCATTCTATGTCATTTATCCCTTTGAATTCTTGTGAAATCCAATGAATTTCGTGCTTCCTCTTTTTTCTGTTCAGTACTTTAAAGGTAGATGTACCACTGGAGCTGAAGATCACTCAGTGTCTCTCATAATTTGAAAAGACACCGTCTTATTTTATCTATTCTTTTCTTTGTTGGTTACTTTTAGTTGCAAGCAGAAGACACCAAAGAGATTCTTGAGCAGATGGCCAAACCCAAGGTTAATCTGGGTTGGGAGTTTCTCCACGAATACGACAAGGACTTCGTCGACCGTCACTCTGAAGTCCATCAACGCCAGCTGATGCTATGGCAGAACAAGCTCCAGCAGTGAGTTTAGTTAACACGCAAATAAGCAGAAGCCCCCTCTGAGTTACTAAAAATCTAATCTATCATCATTTAAAAAGTGTTATATTGGGATTTATGATGACTGTTTAATTGTTAAAGAGAAGGTTGAGTTCTGGAAAGAGGTGAAAAATAATTAGTGAGCATTATTGTTATTATTCAAGTGTGGAAGAACATCAGATAAAAAATGTTCCCTGAAAAGCATGGCTCTTCGAATGCCTTAATATACTAAATATGGCATGTAACAGCATACAAATCCGGAACGATTTTTGTGCCACATGTTCGCGCAGTCCCATATACATCTTTCTGTGTAACTATGTGCTTGTAACTATACCAAAACTGGGCCAAATTTCTTATCATTTTGATGACTCCAGCACCTTGCAGTACACACCAATACGTATATGCTAGATGATCAACCTTTTCTGATCGATTCCACAACGTTCTTTCACAATGCAATCGCATGACCAAAACTCAACTTTATCTTTAAGTAGGAATACAATGACAATGAGTCACATGTTTCTGTTCCAGGAAGAAAAATGTTCTTGAATAGAATTTTCCACAAACGGTATGGAAGAGGGGAAGGACAGCATTATAAAGTCTTTTGTACCTAAAAATCAAACATCTGATCATATGGTGTTTATTAGATGAGTATTGGCCATATTTGTTACATTCAGGTTAAAGAGAAGAATATTGCAGAGTACACTGATGTTCAATCTCGTGATACCATTTTTATTTGTCTTGCAGAATTTCCAAGATCTTGAAAATTCCCAAACATGAGACAGAGAAGAAAGCCAAAGTGAAAAATGAAGGTGAGAACAAAATGATTAACTCGATACTGATTTAAAATGTGTACTCTTTATGTGAGAATGAAAACATAATCCTTATCCTTGTGATATTTTTGTGTTGGTTTTTATTTTAGTAGATCTCCATTGTAGTAGGTCTGAAGAGTCTAATGACATAAAAGCATACATGAATTATGCATGACAATATGGTTGTGATATGAAAAGGAGAAGATGAAATAATAAAAAAAATTGAAAAAATAAAAAAACATCAGCTATCCCTTGCCATTCAAATGTACATTATCTCTAGTCAGAATCAAATGATTTTACAAGAATTCACAGCAGAGGTAATGAATGGAACTTTTCCCATTTCTTTGGTAGGCTTTTCTTTAAAGCTATAAGTAATTTACAAGCATTGAATATATGTCATGTAGCATCAATTAATACTGAAGTTCATACATAGTTCTGTTGTATTTGCGATAACTCCAATCTTATTCAAACACCAAAAGTAGAAGATGCACTCCTTAAGACAATTCTTGCATGTATCAACCTTAGAAAATGAAGGAATGCTATTAAATTCATTTATTAATATTTATGAGAAGATGCAATTTTTGATGAAATTTATTTCTTGTCTCTGTACATGCAGTTGAAATTATTTCTGGTGCGGAGCGAGTCAAGACAGCACGCAGCCGAGCTCGTAGCAAGTCATCCTCAATGTCCGACTCCAGTCCAACCAAGTCATCATCGACGACGAACAACATGGATCCAACCAATCACGTCATAGACTTAGACACTTTCACCCCTTCCCAGCAACCCTCGCGCATACCCACCATGGCCTCTCTAGAGGGCAGCTCACATCTCACAAACTCGACCGGCGAGGGCGGGAGCAGAAACCGAAGTCGTTCAAACTCCATGAGCAATACCACCAACGGGGGCGCGGGGGCGTCGACCGACGGTGGTGGTGGTGGTGGGGATTTGAAAAGTGAACTTAGAACTTTCCTGGGGGATACCTTCCAGGAGCATTCCATTTTGAGCATCACCCAGATGAGGAAGATGCTGATGGGAAGACTGACCGAGTGTCCTCCAGGTCACGTGCTGGGGTCGGGGGTCACCGATCAGCTGTTGGAAGAGTGCGCCGAGGAAATTGGCGGAACCCTGCTTCAAGTTGCAGTGAGTTGGGATCCTTTCTTTCATATGTAATGCTTTTAATTACATATTGGAGCATGCAGTGCCTTGTAGATATGGCATCTGAGTGCTCTGTAAGAGACCTATACAGGTATTGTTATTGTTATTGTGATCATGTAGCAGAGTAAATTACTGAATATCACCAAGTTCCACCAAAGTATTTATAGGGAAATCCAACTATGATGAGGAGGATGATGATGATGATGCGGAGGAGAAGAAGGAAGAGAAAGAGGAGGAGGAAGGGAAAGAGGAGGAGGGGGAAGAGGAGGAGGAGGATGATGATGATGATGAGGCGGCGGAGGAGAAGGAGGAGGAGGAAGAGATTTGATGATCCTGAAATTGCTGATGATATTTATGATGATCATGAAGATGACAATGATGATGATGGTGATTATAGTGATGGTATATGGCAATGATGGTAATATTGATGATTATCTTGGTGATGACTCATTGTGCTAGTGCTAATGATGCTGATAATAATAATAATAATAATAATGATGTTAATGGTGATGAATTCAATGATGGTGCCAGTAGTGATGATGACAGCAGTATAATACCCTGAATCTTGTTTATCTTCCTTACTCAGTGGCCATCTCAGTACAACGATGTACCAGATAAGAGATTATTCTGTAGAACGGCCCTTGGTGAATCACATGACAAGGTTAGTGTCATTTTATCAAGAAACTTTTAATTTTCTACTGTTCTTTTTCTGTTTCCTTTTGTTCTTTCTTTTCTCTCATGTTTTACAAAATAACACAGTACACTGTTGAATCATCCTAAGATTAAGTTTTGCATAGTGGTGTGTATAACATTTGCTAGGTTTGCAGTTTCAGTATTTTGTCAACCCACATGGTGAAACTGCAATCCCAACAAATGTTACACTGTCAAAGTTAAATGTAGCGATTCATGTATGATTGCAAAAATACAAATTAGCAGTAGGATTACAGATGCCATGTTAAGCTATTTTTAACCTGAATAAGTCTAGTATTGCAAGAGAAAGTAGTTTTATTTTTTTTTTAATCGATAACAGTTTGATTCATTTATCATCCTTTGGTTTTTATTTCAATCACTCTTTAGTGACGATGTTCAATGTTCATTATTTCAAACCTATCATAATTAGGTTTTTATGTGTAGAAATTGAAGATATTATCCATATGATTCATTTTAATAACTTTAGTGACAATGTTCAATGTTTCTTATTTCAAACATATCATAATTAGACATTCATGTGTAGAAATTCAAAATATTTGCCTACTTGTCATCCATATAATTATCAAATTAAAAAAATATTTCTTAATTTTTATCAATCCTCAGTTTCGAGGGGTAATCATCGATCTGTTCCGAGAGAACTTTAAAGTGAAGAAGACCCACATCATGGAGCAGTGCAAAGAAATTTTAGGAGAGGACCCGCCTAGTAAAGCAGAGTTTGATAGAATTCTCAAAGTAAGTATGAGACCTGGGGGTGTTTCACAAAGATCCTAAGTTGAACTTAACTCTAAGTTGGAGCTTAACATTATGGATAGCCATTCGTAGCCTTAATATAAAACATATTCAAAAGCAAAAATTGAAGTATTCTTGACTTTTCATAAATTCCACATTAAGAACATGAAAACTCCTTGATGATAGAAAATATAAATGATTTGAATCAACATTTTATGCCTTTTACAATAACTTTTACAAAATATTTTTAAAGATGCTAAACAGCTTTCCATAATTGTTAAAGATGAAGTTGAGTTCTGGTCATGCGATTGCATTGAGAAAGAAACGGTGTGGAACTGACCAGAAAAGGTTGATCATCTAGCATATAAGAATTTGTGTGTATTGCAAGGTTCTGGAATCATCAAAATGATAAGAAATTTGGCCAAGTCTTGGTAAAGTTACAAACACTTGCACAAAAAGATGTATATGGGACTACACGAACACGTGGCGTAAAAAGCCGGCCCCCGATTTTTCCGATGTTACATGCATATTTAGAACATGAAGGCATTTGAAGAGCCATGCTTTTCAGGGAACATGTCTTTATCTGATGTTCTTCCACTCTTGCATAATAAGAATGAGTAATGCTCACAAATTATTTTTCACCTCTTCCCAGAACTCAACCCTCTCTTTAAGTCCAACTTAGAGATAAGATCAACTTAGGATCTTTATGAAAACCCCCCCCCCCCCAGCTTGCCTCGTATTGTAGAGATTTAAACAAAATCTATTCATATGTCTAAATCTGAGAGCAGTGTCATAATTTGTAAGTAGAGGAACTCCTAATAAAGGTGAATTTAATAGAAATATTTAAAATGATAACGTAAGTAATGAATGAAATAAAAATACTCAACATTTCAATTACGTGATTTTAAGATAACATTTAAAAGTGGGGAAAAGGAGAAGAACTTTATAAAATTGAATGCTTTTAGAGTGAGTAACAAATAAGTTATGCTTTAAATATATCATTCAATAGACTCACCTAGTGAAGGAGAATCCTCTTTTGTTTAGTATATCACAGATTTGATGCTTACATTATCTTTAAAGTTGCTCAAGCGTGGGTATATAGAGGGCAGCATACGGACGTACACACGGGAGCTCAGTGTTATGTCGTGATCGCCAAGTTGCCTACTTCACGAACGAATTTATAACCACACATGAACATCTTTAACATGGGTTTACCTGATAGAAAAATATAAATAGTGATGAAATCATCCTTTTTCATATCAATATTTTGTTGATGATTGATGAAAATATCTCTATCTATTTCATTTTTTTCTCAGAATGTATGCATCTTCAAGAGCCCCCACTGGTACTTGAAAGGAACCATACCAAACTCATGACGAAGGCTGCATACCTAGGCTCAACTTTTATTTCAATTTCAAGTGAAGATAGTGATTATTTTCTTTTTAATACAAAGTATTACGAGATGTTATTTGTTAGTTATTTGTTATCGTTTTATAATTTAGATGTTATTTTTATTTACTCTAATGAATCAACAGTTTCTCTTTCTATAAAGGAAAAGATTATATTTCAAAACTTACTTCAGCTTTGCAGTATCGGAGAAAAGAGTATGTACTTATGGGAAGATTTCACCCCACTTGTTATACTACTATATGGACATGGAAACTGGGAAAGATTTAATTATATTAACTAATTTCTAGTGCAGTGTTGCATATTGCACGCAAAAACAATTGTTTTATTAATTTCCATTGGATCTCTATCTTTGTTATTACTGTTAATAGAGTATGTGATAAACCTGTACATTTCTAGATGACGTCATATTTTTGTTCTACAGTCTACATACATAGTTTAATAAATCTCAATTAAAGGTAATACAAAGTTTTGGGACATTTAGAAAATTGGGTGGATAGTGATTCTTTACAATTTGATATATTTGGATGCCCCTGTGGATATATTATAAGCACTAGAAAATTAAGCCCCTAAAACACTTCTGCTTTCAAGAAAAATTGGATATAAAAATTTACCGGTGCTCCCGGTAAATTTTGATAAATTTCAAATAGCACCTACGGCCGTACAATGGTAGCTGCGACCATGAGAATCTCAGAATATGTAGTTGTGATATATAATTTCCAAACAGGAATAGCTAATCGGTCGATATTTTCAAGAAACATTATTTTATAGCTTAATTAATATCTTGACATTGAGAGAGAGCTAAACAACATAAAGAGGTTATTATTTACAATTTCATAACTTTAGGCTCGATTTAAACCGCAACAATGATCACTGAATATTGTAGGATCGCATATGCTTCCAATATGTTCATTAGAACCAAATTCATGACCCAATACCAAAACTTTGTATTACCTTTAAGTTCTTCTTATCTTAGTGTCATCAAACACATTATTTTGTCTTTCAGTTATTGAAAGCACGTCAGTCAGTTGAGCAAGCAATTTTTCTACAATATATATTCTGATCATGGCTTCGATAACACAAAGTCGCACAAAACCTCATGAACCAAAATGAGTCTAATCATTGATAACATGCTCCCTGACATAGTGTTGTGTTCGTCATTGGAAGCAGTGTTTAGATTATTAGAGAACAACTGGTAACGTCACCCATTTGTGTGATCAAAAGTTTTGCTTTTACGTGCCTAAAACATGCAACAACATTTCCTATATTTGTAATGGTCTATTGTCATTTTTGTTAACAGAATAAAATTTAAATAACTGTACCCTGAAATTCTTCAACATAATTACAAGTTGATAAAATTAGAAGTGGTCATTTTTTAGCATCACCAGTATATATAATAAATACAGATGTATTTATCATATATACTGGTGAAGCTAAACCCTCACTGTTTATTGTGCTGTTTAATGGTTAGATATTTATGTTACAAAGTTCATCTTACCATTATGTACCAAGTATTTCAAATACATAAGAGATAAACAGAGATATTGATTCTTAAAAAGAAGGATTGTCAGCTGTCATTTTGCCTTTTTTTGTATTGTTTGTATGAGTATGGCAGTTGCTCAGTGTCAATTTTGTACACTGAAAAAATGTCTAGCTTCAAGCTTGTGAAGTGACCAACACTATGCCCAGCCCTAATCCTAACCTTAAGTCCACTTTCAACCCTAACCAGTAACCATAACCCTATACTTCCGATGAAATAAAACCTAAAGCAATTGTCACTGGATTAATTGTTGGAGCACCTTTGCATTGTGTGAATTTTCATCTTAGACAAGTTGTTACTTAAATTGCATCCCTGTTATTGTCATCTGAGCAAGAAAATTACATGTATTTTAATTTGATACACATACAATTTGCTTTCCTTCCAATGGTATGGTCATTTTATTTTTCTAATATTTGTTGAGTGATAATTAGCAAGGTCCTTATGTCTTCTCTCTCTCTGGCCCCAGGTTGATTGCTAACTATATGTGCCTATTGCAAAATAAAGAATATACTGTACATGCTCTTCAGATTTATGACCAATCTTGTGCAAATGTTTATCTTCATATTTGATTAAATGTAAAATAGACCACTAATATGAGAAGAAGAAAAAAGAGAGGGGGAGTTGGAGAGAGAGAGAGAGGAAGAGCAAGAGAAGAGGGGGGGGGGGGGGGGGGGGGGGAGAGAGAGAGAGAGAGAGAGAGAGAGAGAGAGAGAGAGAGAGAGAGAGAGAGAGAGAGAGAGAGAGAGAGAGAGAGAGATCTAGTAATCTTCCAAGGGCTATGTAGCCTATCACGAAGATGAAGTAAAGATACAGGGAATGCAAATAGAACAAGATTTAGATGTAAAGACATGATCTTACTCATGAGTTTGTTGTTGGCATTCATGTAATTTCAACTTGACACCCATTGACTCATCATCATCATCACTAGTGATCTGTCAAGTGACAGGTTTAGTGACACTAATAGTAAACTTGATTTGTTGTAGCCAAACCTGTCCATTAGGGTCACCCAAGGTAAACAGAAAAAGTGGCCACTATACACAGGTTGTACAACATACATTTTCTTTTTTGAAGGAGACAAAAGTTATGGCCACTGCAGAGAGGTTGCCTTTAAAGTGAGGTGGTCACTAAGACAGGTATGAATGTATGGGAGATTTTCTAAAATAAAATCATGGAAAACCAGAGTTATTGCATTTCCCCCTGTTTTAGTAGTAGTACTTGACTTGAGATCTTGCTCAAAGTTGGTCGAGCGCCATCTGCGGTAGCGTTGGGTAACTATAGCAGCATTCTTTCAGCGGTGATTCTAGATCTGTCAAAATGTCGTACAGAGACCTAAGAAGTAAGCATAAATTTGATTAAACTGTAAACTGTCGTAGTATTTATGGTTATTTTTTGTTTCTTTAGTTATATGGGAATGATCTCATTGAATTTGTATTGGTGATAAGTGATATAAATTGTATATTTGGGGCGTTGAAAATGTGTGTATGTTGCTAATTGATTGTTGACGTGATTCGGTTGCTCTGCACCGTAAATCGGGTTGCATGTAGGCCGTAGCTAGAGGGTGCGTTGTACGTGGATGTTGATGCATTTTGCTAGCAGATTCAATTCCATAGCAGTTTTTGTTATGGGATTTTCTTGCAGTGTCGCACTCGTAAATCCAACATTAAAAACGTTATTGTCTTTCCCTTAATCATTGAATAAGCCACCGACCTCTGTTCTTAAGCTATTGAAAGTTAAATTTAGCAAATTTACCAAATTTACCAGTAATTTTCACAAAATATTGAGACAATAAATTATTGAAGCAAAACGTCCATCATCCCACTAGACTACTACTAGGTCTTGATCAACTTATTGTTTTACTACTTGCACTGTGCTAAGGCTATAGACTAGAGTATAGATCGAACAGTTTAAAATGCTAATTCCAGGTCAAGGTATCGCTATCATGAATAAATAAGCACTAACGTTAGGGTCTAGATCTAGATCTAGACTCTAAACTGATGGATCCTCAATGACAATGAGAATAGTGCAAAAAACCTGTGATTATTTAGAGCATCTCTCTACCCATGCAGTAATTTGTTTCCTAGTGCAGGCAGCAGATGACTAAATGCTTGATGAGTTTTAGGCCTTTGAAAATAACTTATAGATTGTGTGCCCTCCCCCCCCCCCCTCCCCCGATTTGGTGTGGTTTAAAATAATGTTGAATGCTGTTGATCAATTTCCCCTCAATACAATGAACGATTTATCTTTTTTCAGATTTCACTGAGATGATGAGGGCGTTGGGTTATCCCCGCCTCATCTCTATGGAGAACTTCCGCACACCCAACTTTGCTCTCGTTGCTGAGGTGCTCATATGGCTGGTCAAGAGGTAAGCTAAAAATTGAAAAGTAGATGAAGGAAGTTTGAAACACAGTAACATATAAGCATACTGTGCTGTGAATTCACTACCGCTCTGTTTTAAAATGAACATCACTATTAGTGGAAGTTTGATTTAATTAAATTGCATTTGCAAAATAACCTGATTCTGGGATCTACAAAGTATTACTCTGCTACAAATTTGAGGTTTCCACTTTCAAAATGGAAAATGACATTCTAAATAATTGTTTTCCATTCCTCATCTGTGATCTATTCTGGATAACTGTAACTATCAAGGGCAAAGCGCTTCCTGTTCACATGTTGGGTAGTTCTTTGGAAGTGAATATGAGTTAATGATTTCATTTATCATTTTTATTTTTTTAGGTATGACCCTAATGCTGACATTCCCTCAGACACAGACTCGGAACAGGACAGAGTTATTTTCATCAAGTCAGCCGCACAGTTTATGGTAAGACATCAGCACTTACATCTTACTGATGATGATGATGATGATGGTGCTGGTGATGATGTTGTTGTTTTTGATGATGATGATGATGTTGTTGTTGTTGATGATGATGGTGATGATGTTGTTGATGATGTTTGTATTGGTGGTAGTGATGATGGAGATGGTGATTATGTTGATGATTATCATAATGACTATGATGATTATGCTACTGCTGCTGCTGGTACATTCCATTGTCAAAAGATTTTCTTTTGCCAAATCTCTTCAACTTTCCTCCATAGTTATGTTGTTAAGCTGCAATTACAATACCTTAATATTTACATTTAACATGAAAGACAAACTGAAAAAATAAAATAGACATGTCTACAAGCATCTCTTATAGACAAAGTAAATGCAAATACAATAATTAATAAGAAGAAAAAGAAAAAGTGGAATTTTGATCTTCTAATACTCACAAACTTAATCATTTTTATGATTAATAACCTGTAAATCAAACATTTATCTGTCAAGGCAACCAAGGCGCACATCAAACTCAACACCAAGAAGCTATATCAGGCTGATGGCTATGCAGTCAAGGAACTCCTCAAGGTCACGTCGGTACTGTACAATGCCGTGAGGACAAAGGTCGGAGGTCAAGATGGTGATGACGACGACGGAGCGTCGGCCATGTCATTTGACATTTCATCAAAGGTATGTTAACCTCAGAAATTGACTTAAATTGTGAGAATGGTGAAATTTAACAATAGCAATTGCATTTTTTTGCAGTCTCTCATAAAAAATGTTAACTTCAATATGAAATATGTGTGAGAAAAATGCCTTCATTGTGAAGTCACATATTTCCATTTCAAAACACACTGTGAAGAATAGCATGTATTGTCTTTTAATTTGACCTGGGGGTGTTTCACAAAGACTAAGATCGACTATAAGTTGGACTTGGCTATGGCAGGCCATTAATGCCACAATTTTCTCTCACCATTTACTAGTATTGGTCTCTCAAGGGATGTACAAATTATGGTCACAAATTTACAATGTCATTTTTTTTATAATTCATTATTAAAGGAAAAAATATTATCTAAAGAGATTATAATTGAGAGACCAATGGTGAGAGCAACCAGTGGCATGGAAGGCCTGCCATAGTTAAGTCCAACTTAAAGTCAATCTTAGTCTTTGTGAAACACCCCCCTGGGGTCAGGTCAGATGTTGAGTGAGAAAAGTGATTCAAATGCTACTAAATCCTAATGATACTCCTGAAACAGAAATAGCATTTGAAAGCATACCTTAATTGAATTCTTATCATGTATTTCTAACTCAATCACAGATCCAAGATTTGAAAGCGTCAAGGCAGCTCGCATCAGAGATCACATCGAAAGGTGCCAGTTTATATGATCTCCTAGGCAAAGAGGTTGAACTAAGAGTAAGTATTCTCTGTTTGAAAAATTGATAAAGTCAAATTGTTACTTCTATTTGGTAATCGTGGCAGTGGAAAAATGGCCAATGGAATCATCGTTAAAAATGTGTTTAACTTGTTCAGGGGGGTGTTTCACAAAGATCCTAAGTAGAACTTAACTCTAAGTTGGACTTAAAAATTATGGACAGCCATTGGAGTCTTTAAATGAAATATATTCAAAAGCAGAAATTCAAGTATTTTAGACTTTTTATTAATTCCACATCCAGAACATGAAATCTCCTTGATGATAGAAAATATGAATGATTTCAATAAACAATGAATGCCTTTCAAAATAACTTTTACAAAATATTTTCAAAGATGCTAATGGCTTTCCATATTTTTTAAGTCCAACTTAAAGTTAAGTTCTACTTAGAATCTTTGTGAAACACCCCCAAGATTCCACAAAGATTTTTAAAGACATGATCAACAAATTCTTGTAAATCTTGATGTCCAATGTTCATTTGAAGTCAATGACTAGGTGATGCAGTTTGTGGGATACCTCAATGTGTGGAAAAGCAAATATTTTTGGATGGAAATCTATACATCAATCCTGTTGGTGAAACTATACTTGAGGCAGAACTACTGCATAGAAAGTCATCAATGCCTGTAATACAGATGTGTGGAGCCAAAAAAATGATTACAAATTGATTGACTTACACTTATATTTCTTTATCCACTCAGGAAATCCGTACTATGGCCATCAACAAGCCACTAGAGATTAATGAGATCGAGAAAGGTCTGAGGAACAGTATCAAGGCTGTTGAGGTAAAAAAAAAAGAGAACATCTCATGATATTTTCTCCTAATTCTTCTCTGTTATGTTATTAACAATGATTATGATACTGAGTTGTGTTCACAAAGTATGTCCTAGTGTTCCGTTCAGGTTGTTGTTATGGTTTGATGCAAAGTTGCAAATATACAGCATATATTATTATACAAAAATTCATCATGTTGAACAACACCTGTTATGTGATATAAAGATGCCTGTTTTCAACCCATTTATACACACTATTATATTGTGATTGTTAACAGTAGTCATTTCAGGTATCAAAAGAAGTTGTTAACACCTGGGGCCCATTTCACAAAGCCTTTTTTCAATGATAAATGACAAAAAACAGTGACAAATCTGCTAATAACCAATCAGAAGCAAGGATTTCAGTAGCTTAACAAAAACTGTCATTTGTCACTGATGACAAGTTTTGTGAAACACCCCCTGGTCATGTCAGCAGTACAGGGCCATGTAATAAAAAGCCTTTTGATCGATCATAAGTCTATGGCTCATCGTGTATTGATCAAACTTGAGATCAATCATAACTCTGTATAATACGAGGTCCAGGTTTCACAAAGATCCCAAGTCGACGTTAACTCTAAGTTGGACTTTAAAATTATGGAGAGCCATTTGTAGCCTTAAAATAAAGTATATTCAAAAGCAAAAAATTCAAGTATTTTAGACTTGTTATAGATTCCACATCAAGAACATGAAATCTCCTTGATAATAGAAAAACATAAAGGATTTGAACATTTGATGCTTTTTAAAATTACTTTTACAAAATATTTTCATAGATGCTAACGGCCTCCTATAATTGTTTAGTCCAACTTAGAGATAAGTTCAACTTAGGATCTTTGTGAAACACCCCCCAGGTATCAAAAGAAAGTTGTTAACAGCCGGTCATGTCAGCAGTCCAGTTTTAAATAAAAAGAATCCAAAAATATGCCCATCCATTTGGTTTGCTGCTGCTCAGATGATGTTACACTTTTTTTTTCTCACTTGAATACAGTCAAACCTGTCTATAGCAACCGTCTAAGGGAAACACAAATGGTGGTCTTTGTAGACAGGTAGTCTTTGAAGACAGGTTCCTTTAGTACATGTTTCAATGAGAAACCATTTTCAAGAGAAACAAAAAATGTGGTCTTTATAGACAGGTGGTCACTAAAGCAGGTTTGACTGTACAACAATTTTTCTCTCTATCTCACCTACAGCAAAATGTGAAGAAAACTCAGAAGATGCTGGAGAACGTTGCATCGGATGAGGCAAACCTTGAGGCTAAGATTGAGAAGAAGAGATCAGAGATGGAGAGGAACGAGAAGAGACTCTCAACATTGCAGTCCGTCAGACCGGCATTCATGGACGAATACGAGAAGCTAGAGGGTGATCTTCAAAAGCAATATGAGGTACTTATGAGATATTTATTTCTTATCTGTCTCCTTACGGCTTGTTTAGATATGGCCCGTTTTTTGTAAACGTGTAACATGAATGGTAACAGCGTGCATCAAAAGAACCTGCATTTATTCACTAATCTCTGTGTAATAGGATACATACATTTTAGGCGTTTTACACTCAACAACATCATGGAAAAAACGCCACGGTTTTTAAACGTCATATCTGAACTAGCCTACATGTACACGTGAATAGTGCCAAATTGTTTATTTTGTGTCAAAATCTACACATGTACACTAATATGCATGTAGTCACTTCCAGACTTGCATTTTATTTGGGTCAGTATTTTTTTTCCACCTTCAAATGTTGTTTTGAATTTGATGTACGGAGAAAATGCCTAATCATATGTGTGATAGAAATATAAATACAGTATATTCCATCTGCCGTACTTGGATATCAACATCAAATTAAAAAAACAAGCACTTTTGCAAAATATCACTTTTATGAATTTCTATCCCTCCAGGTTTTCATTGAGAGGTACAGGAATCTGACATACCTAGAACACCAGCTTGATGAGTACAGCAGAGCCGAACAAGATAGATTTGAGGTAAGATCTCCTTGTCTTTCGAGCTGGATATTGAGTGCTCATGCTCTCAACAATTTTTGAGTTTTGAGAACGTAAACATCTGGCAGGTGTGTAGTGATTAATCAAAGAAATATTGTACTGTGGAGCAGACCCATGAACACAATGAAACATACTGTAAGCAAAAGACGTTTGAAAACAATACTTTCTTTTGTGGGTAACCAATGGAGTTCCTTGAGAACCGTTGTAATGTGTCTGTGTTTTTTGGAGAGGGTAACAATACGAGCAGCGGCATTCTGCAATTTTTGTAACTTAGCAAGATGATTATGAAACTGTATTATGACTGTAACTTGTATCATTTAACACAAAGACAATACCCTTCTGGCTCCAAACAGAGGATTCATTTGTAAAATGTTCACAGACATTGAAGTAGGATGTTAGGATTATCATCCCAACCTGTCACTCCGACCACTCTATTGCAGGAGATGCAGAAAACCTTAAAACAGATGCAGAGAAGGCTACGACAGGCTTAAAACTGCAGTATTAAAATGCAATAGTTTTTAAACAATTATACAATAAACACATATGATTGTAACTCATATCATTCACACAGAGATAATGCCCTTCTGGCTCGAAACAGATGATTTATTTGTAAAGTGTTTAGAGACATTGAAGTATGACGTTATCAGGGATGCCAGTTTTCAGCGAGTTTTTTTTCAGATCATAGTTTAGGTTTTTTGTGTACAAAATAGCTCATTCTAGGTGATTTTCAGGCCTCTGATCAATTCTAACTGGCATCCTTGCATCATGATTATTATTCCAACCTGTCATTCCAACCACTCTATTAATTGCAGGAGACAGAAAACAGCTTGAAGCAGATGCAGAGCAGGTTACGACAGGAGGACGACCGGATCAAGATGTCCGGTGAGGTCCTCGGTGACGAGGACATGACCGGGCTGGACGTCGTGGAGGATGCGGAGGAGAGCGAGAGCGAGGAGGAGGACGATGAAGAGGAAGATGAAGAGGAGACCAATCCAGCGCAAAGACCGAGAGGGAAGTTCAGACAAGGTAAGATTGTCCTGCAGAATTCAATTCACATGTCACAAATGGACACATTGCTTTGATTACTACCGTTTCTCTCTTTCTCTTTATGATGCTGAAGGCATTTGATTCTTAAATATATGTGTGACGTCGTCAAAAATCTATTCTTAGAATTTCTCAATTTTTTCTTCATTTTCCAAAAGAGCTCTTTCTCAATTTTTTCTTCATTTTTCGAAAGAGCTCTTCGGAAAATGAAGAAAAAATTGATAAATTCAAAGAATAGATTTGTATGATGTCACAGCTTCGGTACTTTACAGCTGGTTTTCCTGCTTTTAAACATTACATTAGTTTTCATAAGTTGAGGCACATCAATGGCATGACAGGAGTTGTTTTCCACACATTGTAGATGGACTTTCAATAAAAGCCTTTCCAATCAATTTAATCAACATTGCTGCTCATTTTAATCAGAGCCATCAAGGCACGATATTTCATTTGTTACAGCCCTCAATCTTGATACTTGAATGATGTGATCTCATGTGGTATAATCTTTGATCCTATCTCCTCCACAGCTCCTCAACCGAAGAATCCTAGAGTATTTGGCAACATGGGTGCAGGACTCAGTGATGATGTAAGTATTTCTGTTTTGGAAACATGCCTGTCAAAACTACTAGAACAATCTCAACAGACATTTATTTAAAACATTGTAAAAAATATTTTCAGATCAGTTAGTTACATCAATTGGCAGTTGAATCTTCATGTGATTTACATTTGAAGTGACAGTGACAGAGTTGATGAATGATCAACTCTTCTTTGGTTGAGAATAACGTAGATCTTTTGAAATCATGTGTAGCATCATCTGCTGAGGGTGCACAAGAATTACAGGAATAACAAAGCAACAAAGGTTTTAGCTTTGTCATTATGTCAACTTGTAGAGGCAGTCTATCACTATAGCAATCTTACAGCTGTAGTGAAGTGTGAGTATTGATATCTATATTACTTTGCTATATATTGTATTTAAAAAGAAAAAGACTTTTCCTTACAGAGTTCACAGACTTGGGGAAAAGGGCCACTTATTATGTTTTCCTTGACCAGTTTTGATGCACGTCGCATACTGCATTTAACTTTCTGAGAAGATATAAAGACTGGTTGACAATGTTGTACTTGGCTATATATTATTCTCATACTTATGCCGGCTTATTGGAACAATATTTTCTTTTATCCATTCATCTCTCGTTGCTTCTTCAGGAGAGTGGATCCTCTGGTGACGATGGTGACAGCATCAGTGTGGACGAAGACGATCTCCTGGATGACCAGGATGGTGACAGCGACGATCTCAAGGTCGATGGACCCCCGGGGAAACAACAAGACGAAGACAGCGACGATGACTTCTAGATAACTCTTTTAGAACTCTTAACATGACTCGCTTCAAGATCAGGGCCCTGTTGCACTCAACTCACCATTGATGGTTACTTTGTTATTAATGATTACTACCATGGAAACCTTGATTTTGATTGGCTGTTGAGCCCTGTTACCATGGTAGGTGCTATTGATGGCAAAGTTATTATCAATGGTAAGTTTTTGTGCAACAGGCCCAGATTCATAAGATTTTGTACTCCTACATGAAAGTGCAGACATAACTGCTTTTGGTAGAGATGTGCGTCCCGTCTTACAAAGAGTTGATATCAATCGCAACTTATTTGTGATTGATATCAATCGCAACTATGTACATAAGAGATAAAAGACTGCAAAATTGTGATTGATAAGAGGACTTGCGATTGATTTGGATCAATCGTAACTCTTTGTAAGATGGGGCCCTGGGGGGGGGGGGGTGTGTTTCCCAAAGATCCTAAGTTGAACTTATCTCTAAGTTGGACTTAACAATTATGGAAAGCCGTTAGCATCTATAAAAATGTTAAGTAAAATTTATTTTTAAAGGCATGAAATGTTGATTCAAATCATTCATATTTTCTATTATCATGGAAATTTCATATTCTTGATGTGGAATTTATAAAAAGTCTAAAATATTTGAATTTTTGCTTTTGAATATATTTCATTTCAAGGCTACAAATGGCTCTCCATAATGTTTAAGTCCAACTTAGAGTTTAGTTTGACTTGAGATCTTTGTGAAACACCACCCAGCTCTAGTACTTGCTGTAGGTTGTCAAGTAACTCAGTACAATTCCAAAAGCTTTCTTGTGTGTATCGAAAAGCAACTAAAGTTCACCAAAAATATACTAGGTGTGAAGGCATATGAGATGTCTCAGGGAGTTCCTTTGAAGTGCCCTTGCTTAGAGAGCTCATATTTTGGATCATGAAAGGTATCCTACAAGCTTCTTACACCAAGGTGTGTCTTGTCGATTTCTTTTCTTTCAGGTGTTAAGTACGAAAGTACTATATAAACCATTTAAAGTCATTTGTATGTAAAAGAAACACAAGGAAACTGGCTTTGAGATACTTTGATATAATCCCAGATATTGAAATTAATAACAAATGAAAATCTCTTATTTTTTGTTAGTTTTCCATGTTTCTTTAATCTTCCATATTGATGTTTCAATAAGTGGGATTCAATAGGGTGAAAAGTAACTATTCAGTGAAATAAATAGTTCTAGAGCTCCTTGGTTATGCATGTCTCCTTTATTTAAACATTAGTGAGACTCCCAGAAAAGGCAACTTTTAATAACATTTTTAAACTTGTCACTATTTCTTTCTAATACATGAAAATCCAGCCTTTCAATAATCTCTAGGTTATTTTCTTCATGACAATCTGTCTGAGAACATGCCTGAATTTTGATTATGACTGTTTTTCTCAATTCATGAAATGACATTTTGGAAGCTTATGAATTTTAAAAACCTGTAATAGACTTGTATGAAAAAGGATTTTCCTCTTGAAACAATCTTCTCTTACAAGTAACAAAATACTCCCACCTTTTACTTTCCTTATTTCACCTCAAACTACAGGCTGAAGAAACAAATATTGTTTGTATGATCAAGTCATTAGCATAATCTGATAAAATTAATGATAAAGAGCACTTCATGGTTTCTGAAAAAGTAGTACTTCAAGATCACCTTCACTTTTGCCAAAAGCTTGGTTCCATATAAGTGAAATGTCTCATTGAAAAAAGTCATGTTATGTACGATAACTAAGTACCGTTTTGTATTCCTTTGTGTGTATTCAACTGTCAATAGGCAAATATTATTTGTAAATATTAGATAAATAAAATATTGCAAAGTACTAAATAATCTTAAGTTATTGTGCCTTGGTGTTCTTTGAAAGGTGTCATAATAATCATTTGCTAAATGCTCATATACTCCTTCTCCCTATTCTCATTATCTCATGCATTCTTTTTTTCCCTCCCATATTCACTTGTGTTTTTCTTATCTTTTCTGTTTTATCTATTTTCTCTGCTTGTATCCTATGTATTCCTGTTGTATCCTTCCAGAATATTGTTTATAGTTCTTATGACAAAAATAACCATTTTTGATGTGCATATAAAGCGACTTATCCCGCAGATATTACAACCATTGTAATACATTATAACAATGGACAACAAATGAAATAAAATTAAAAACACAGACAAGATTTGCAGATGTTAAAACATTTTAATGTTAGAAATTCACACAGAGATTGCACTTTAAATGAGATTGTCAAAGTTTTGATTAAGCTTTCATAAAGATTATACGCTTTCTCAATAACACAATCTTTTATTCAGCTGTTGATGTTATTGTAGTACGTATTATGTACTTCCAAAAGCCTCTTCAAATTTTAGTTCAGAACTTCAAAAGACAAAATATGGGTGCTTCTTGACACGTTTTTCCAAATTTTCTTTGCCTTTTGTTACTCTTCTATTCTTTGGCCAATGTTTCCTCCATAAAAACTATTGGATTATCAGTAAACTTTTTTTTCTTTTGTATTAATGATTGTTAAATAAGACAAATTCTGATGGAAAACATTACACAGAAGATATTTCTCGGAAAAAAAGTATACACATCATCACAGGTCATAAGAGCAATAGATAAAACATATTCTTTGAAGTTTCAACAAAGTGTCACCCCCAATGTACCATCACTTGATTCTTGAGTTAAGGTATTGAATTGAGCCACATTTTTCGTTGAACATACTCTTAGTTATGCCTCACTGTCCCATTTATGTACCAACAATTGGAGTCGGCCTCGAATATTTCATGAACACTCCGTTGTCCTTTAAGCTTAGTCACATAACTATATTTTCGAAATTGGTTCCAGTATGTGCAGATTTAAAATGGACTTTATATGATAAAGAGAAAGAAGCCAGGACAAGGGTAAAAGAGAAATGGGACAAAGAATAAAAGGAATACATGAAATATGTGATTGCTATGACCACGTTAAACACGTAGGTAGATAATGGGATGTTTGTTCAGTCTCATGTTTCTTCCATAGGTGAACTTTTAGTTTGTTATGTGATCACCCTAATATGATTTTGATAGTAGCGTTTTGATATTACCCAGTAAAGAAATATAACAATATCATATCTAGCAATGACAATATATACATGTATGACTATACCTCATCTCATAAGAAGTTTGGCAAATATATTATACAGTAGTAAAAAATATATTAGAGTGCATTGAAGTGATGAAAACACAAATATATCAAGGTGACGAATAAGTTAAAATATATATTTACATTATATGATATGCTAGTTTGGCAATGGTGCATTGCATAAGTGATTGTACAAAATGCAGTAATAATATGAATGTTATCTTATAACGAAGAAGCATATGATGTTTAAAAAAATGCTTGAACACCAAGTGATTTAAAACACAAACTTTTTCAACTTAAACATGTATAAACATACTTGTTGCCATTGTACTTCACAACATGTAGTGCAAATATTGATTTCGTCAACGACGGGACGGATTAGAAACACTTTTTTTTTTTAACACATTCTAAAAGAAATGAATGTGACAATGACATATTTAAGTATTTGAGCACTAATTGCTGTCATCGAATTAGTGACATACACTTATACAAAACACACTGAATGTAGAAGGAGGATAAACATTAACGCCTGCCTTCTTTTATCATTATAGCATAAAATAACTTTCTCTTTATTTCGTTTACATTATTTAAACAATATTTACAAATGTTATCAGCTAAAGGGCAAGTTGCTGTGTAATTTTCTTTTTACACGATATACAAAATTTTGATCATAGTTGAACGCTATCGATGCTGTCGAATATCTTTCGAATTAATGAAAAGTCGTTAATTTAACTTTCAGCTCGCGAATTTGATTTGATGGAAAGGCACTTTAAATATTCAGTCACAATATTCACATAATTATGTTGATCATTTGATAGAATTTGTTTGATGTTGCAAATTTAAATAGCACAGCTATATTATAATATATAAATACAGTGCGTCCCAGAAAAAAACGAAACCGAGAACTATCGATGTTTTATCATAACTTAATCACAATTATATTTAATAAATGACACATATTTGGAAAGCTTAGATACTCCTCTTTCATTTGATGCAACTCATATGATGCATATTTCACGCATGAGTGATTAACAGCAATTTGAAGAGAGGAAACCAAAAATTCATTTAGCGGGCGGTATCTGAATTTCAAGGAGAAAATCACATTTCTACAAAAGTTCAATTTTTTGCGCTTTCATATGACACCTCAATCAGGAAAAACGAAGTTCTGTTTGTTTAAAAAAAAAATGCTTGCATTTCCCTACTTTGATCAAACGAGTTCGTTTTCACTGGCTACCTGCCGTAGCAACAAACAGAGTTGACAAAAGACTTAACTCCATTTCGTTGAAGATCAGCCAGGCATCAGGTCTTTCGTCTTCTTTGAGCATGGCTGATCGTCAACGAAACGGAGTTAAGTCTTTTGTCAATTCTGTTCGTTGCAACGGCAAATTAGGGAAATGCAAGCATTTTTTTAAACAAACTGAACTTTGTTATTCCTGGCTCATTTTTCCTGATTGAGGTGTCATATGAAAGGGCAGAAATTGAACTTTCTAGATTTCTCCTTGAAATTCAGATACCGCCCACCAAATGAATTTTTGGTTTCCTCTCTTCAAATTGCTGTTAATCACTAATTCGTGAAATATGCATCATATGAGTTGCATCAAATGAAAGAGGAGTATCTAAGCTTTCCAAATATGTGTCATTTATTAATTATAATTGTGATTAAGTTATGATAAAACATCGATAGTTCTCGGTTTCGTTTTTTCTGGGACGCACTGTATACTCTACTGTGCTCTGATAAAACACGGGAATAATCAAACATATAAACACAATTCATATTCCAATTTGTTTCAAGGTGTGTAGATACCAGCGAATCAGACATTTGAAATGTCGCTCAAATGACTAAGAAAGAGATAATTATCCAAAAGCATTTCTGGCTTTGCTCGTGGACATTTCATTTCTTGCCGGGGCTTCCAGTGTGCGCGTTCGGCAGCGGCTCTAATAGCGTGGCCCTCCGAACACCCGCGATTGCACCTCCGCTTTCTCCACCCTGGTGATGAAACGACCTTTCACTCTTGAACTCGAGCTGAAGAGGGGTCAAGGTCAAATTCTGAAGGTCAGTCTCGTTGCTGCATGAGACCCCTCGCTGTTTCATACGCTGGGTCATCGGCAGGGTGGACGGGAACTCGACGGCTTTGGTGGACTGAAGTAGAAACAGAGATTACTGTTAGCTCACAACGACTATTGCACTATATCATGAATATTAAAAGGAAGTTTATCCATTTTCACTATTAATTCCTTATGAATCGTAAAGAGACCCTAAAAAAATAAGTCCCATCATCTCGATGAAAGAAATTACGATTCTTGTTCACAGTTACTGTGCCATCGGTTCATTACACATGTAACAAAATTAATGATGAGAAAAGTAGACCTAAACCTTCATGACTTGATATTAAAGAAATTTGTTTCATCCTTTGACGAATGCGATGCTAATGCAATGAAAGGTTGACATATTCCTCCATTCAAAGACCAGAGCATATTTATGTGACCAAACACCTCAATAGTTTCATAAATTCCGAAAGATAGATACCTGCGTTGCCAGGGCTTGAAAAGGAGCGCATATCTTGCCGAACCTTGACACTCTGGATACATCAATGTCGCCGAACCTCTGGCGTCTCTCTGAACGACTGTTGGTGATCCGCGCTAGACCCTCATCAACGTGTCGACCCAGCAGACTCTAAAAGAGAGTCAAGAAACAAAGAGATGATTCTTTGTTAATCTAATCAATCATTTAACTAACTGACGGAAACATAAATAATATAGATCGGAAAGTCTTATTGACATTTCTCTACCCCATCCCTTCGCGATCGGTCTTTGCTTGATGTTCCTTGTTGTACCTTCGACAAAACAAATATCAAATGATCTAAAATTAAAAAAACAATATCATTAAAAACTTTGATGTTGATTTATTACAATTTGTTGAACTTATTAGGCTCGGGGACTTTAACATATTAGGGCCTATACATTAGACTGTGTCTTCTCGTACCTACGGAAGCTTTTCAACTTTTTAAGGGCAAAAAACCTCAAAGCCGACTTTTGGGACAAGAATATAAAAACCTGACAACGGAGCTTGTCTTCTTATTAAAAAGAAGTCATCTGTCTGGGTCAGATATTTTCTGTTTACTTGTGTTTTTCCTAACTATAATAAAGATACGCAGTCTAGTCAACTTGTTTTCCTAATGTAATTGTGAAAATGAAGCTCCTTACCGTATTTGATCTTGAGCTCAGCTTCATTTCCTCTAGGTTCCCTTTGTTGCTATGTCGGGCACTTGAGACACTCCTTGACCCCTGGCTTCCGGTTCCACGTCCCACGTCGTCATCCATTCGATTCATCATCCCCTTCCGCCGTTTGATTGGTCCGTTCTGACCCGCACTGTCCTCCGATTGGACAGACTGGCCAGAATGTCTGACCATCACATCATTGTTCGATTTCTTCCTGGTACCAACCTTACTTTCGTCACCCCCTGCACCTTCAGCCTCTTCGGATAGCGCACCTAGTGACTTGGAGATTGGTGGGAGAGGGTTGGCCGTATGAGATTGTGGTCCGGCCGGTGCTGCATTATCAGAACTGCGAGTCACCCGACTTGTCGAGGACAGGGTGCTTTGATCCCGTTGCGTCGCGAAGAATCCCGTTTTAGGCTCAGGCGCTGACGCAGAAACAAGTAACTTTGCAATGGCGGGCATGCTACCTATTTCCTTCTTGCCATTGCTAGGGCTGGTCACAGAATCCAATCTCGATGATGCCTGCGGTTTGATCACTGGGACTAGAATGGGACTGCTGGTATGGCCAGTTGCATTGGCATTTCCAACCAGGTTCGAATTCAAGTTCATATCGAGGAGAGAATGACCTCCGCTTTTTCGGCTGTTCTCTGAGCTGCTTGACTTTCCCGCCCTCCCGCCGCTTCCCGCGCTCGATCGTCTGCTCAGTGGGATGGGTTTGGATCCTGGTAGCATAGCAAGGTTTGCCTTGGTCAGTTCGGTGTTGCCGGCGGTGTCTTCTGGTGGTAGGGTGATGTCTTCCACCTTGACATCATCATCGTCAAAGACATCATCGTCCTCTTCATCTGATGATCCTGATGTGAATCAATAGAACAAGCTTTATTAATACATCTTTGTGGACATCAGAAAGTATTAACGCAACACTGCCCTACATAGCCTACAGCGAATGAGGTGAAAAACCAATGGAGGTTTATGTCAGCTGTGTAAAAAGACTAATTGGTTTGGGAGAATCATAGTTACAATCGAAATAAAAATGTATATGTACCTCCTTCGGACAAAATATCTTTCTCCTGGGGCGGCGGCTGGTCATCTGTCCAGGGATCACTGTATAGGAAGAGAAAGAAAAGAAACGAAAGTGTTCCAATGTCACTATGAGCACGGTTAAACTGTGGTGTGTACACTTGATGATTGTGTTTGAAGTAGCAATGTGTCACAAAATGTTTTAAAAATAGTGTGAACATTGTGTTATTCTGTGTTTTTGACAAATAACCTCTGTTGTTTTACTCCGGTCACCAGTGTGGTAACACTGTGGGTCTTGCTATGGCCAGCGTATGCCACACTGTATACCACACATGGCAAACATTGTGTTCACACAGTGTTTGCATTAAGTGAAAAATACAGTGTGATGTCACACTGTGGATATCACTGTGATCACAATGTATCACAATGTACCACACGATCTAAAGCCAATATGAACATAGTGCTTTTATCGCTTAACTTCATGGAAGTGTTGTAGTAAACCCTTTCTGGGTAATCACACTGTGGATCGACTCGCTGTGGTTCCAATGTATCACAGTGTGCCACACAATGTAAATGTAACTGTGTCACAAAGTACTACACTTTGTGCGCAGAGTGTGTGTGTTTTTACAAAGAAAATGCCTCTCTGTGGACACGCATTGTTGTGATTCCAGCAGACAACGGCCATGCGGACTACATATTAAACCATACTCACTTTGGATGTTCATAAGTGTTGGGGTTCATCAAGTCCCAGTTCATGGTCTGGCCGAAGGTTCCCACGAAGTGACCCTCGATGGTCCACAGTCTGGCCGTGAAGTCGGTGGAGGCGGTCAGTATGAACTGACCACAGCTGTGGTTGATGTACTCCACACTGACCACAGTTGCGTCATGTGCCTTCCAGCTCTTGATCAGGGGTGGTCGGCTATTGTCCTCCTGGAAGTTCAAAAGTAGGTTACGAGAGAAAAACAAAAGGTTCGTGAGAAGTATAAATGTGAAATGAGATTGCCGGATTCAACTTACTAACTAAAAGATCTTCAGAATACCGTGTGGTATAGAGTAGTACACATATATAATCAGGGGCTGTGTGACACCCCCTATTTCTAAGTTTGTCATCAAATTCGTATTTTGTCCACCTCTTCCGGCGAACCAAGGACTTATTTAAAGGGTGTGGCACTTTTGCTGCTTTCGTGGGCAAATCATACTCATCGAAAATTTTATATTTTTTAAATATCGGTATACCTCAAAGTTGGAAAACCTCTTCCTTTTCGCTTTCCTTGGATATTTTCGACAACATTTATAGGCAAACTTGGTGCAGATATCTTCCTCCTTTGTCTTTCCAAAACGGCCTAACAACGATTCTGCATATGATTAATATTCTAGAAATAGAAGTATCAAAGAGTTTTTCAAATACCAAAGATAAATTTAATAAACTTACCACATTTGTAGCATAGATACAGTGGTTCGCAATGCCCCATATATAGACATGTCCCATGGTATCACCGGTGATGAGCAAGGAATTATCAGCATTGGTGCTCAGGGCTAGCACAGACTCCTCCTCTTTAGCAGAGTCACTCGAATAGAACGACCCTACAAACCAAAAGAATTCCAAACAACAAACATGATTGTCGTTTTAAAACATACATATTTATGATACGTTTAGTGACTACGTTTTACTATGATGAGCGCAAGAAGAAAAGCTTCGGTATGTTTTTGTTAAAAATTATTGTTGGATTTGATTTAAAACATTGATCAGACTTGTTAGAAAGTTTGTTACATTGAAACGTACGCCAAGTACGGCAGTCATATGATGAGTACATGGTTACTTTGTGGGAGACGACTATTCAGAGGTATCACCTGGATGTCGAGATAACAGATGTCGGTATATGAGGCAGATACTGTAATTTCTAGGTGGTGTGCAGCTTCGTGAATAATACGATGTTCCTGTTCTAATCATTTTTTTTTACTACAGAGTCAAAGATAGTAGCCCCTTTTTAGCTTTGGTTGTGGAAACCAAAGAAACTTTGTTATCGATTGTTATCAATCATATCAAGCACATATCATAGCAAATAACCACTACATTTTTGATGCTGCCATGAACATTTTTCTTTTCGGTTGCCTTTTCCTTATTCATTTCTTTTTGTGGGAGCTCATTAAAATTTCCCGCCAATTTTCGTTTGTGACAATCATATTACAGTCAACCCTGCTTTAGAGACCACCTGTATAGAAAGACCAAATTTTGTGTTTCTCTTGAAAATGGTTTTTCATTGAAATATGTTCTAAAGGAACATGTACATAAATACCACCTGCCTATAAAGACCACTATTCTTGTCTCCTTTAAGTGGTCTTTACAGCCAGGTTTCACTGTACATACCTCTGTGGTGTCTCTTTTGACCGTAGATAGCCCAGAAGTGAAGATGTCCAGCCTCACTTGAAACTAACACAGCACTGTCTGACATTCCACCGGAGAGGCGAGATGCAAGAAACAAAAGTTTCTCAACAGGGGCTTGGGAAAACCTGAAAAATGGAAAGAGAAACCCACTTTACCATAGCCGTCACTCAAAATTATTGAAGAGGGTTTATCGATAGGAAAATTAATTTAAGTTTTGCCATCAAATCTTAAAATTCTGTCCAAAAGATTAACATTTTAGTATGCCGACAGGGGTTAGAATATTTCGGTCAATTTGGACAATTTGCTGACAAGGGTATCAAATGATCCTCACGTTTATAATATTCCAGACAATGATGATGGATGTTCGGGCGGTAATTTTGGACAGGGTTGTTTCCCTCTGACCCTCCCATTATAGTGACACCCACTGCAGTTATTATTTCCTGCTTCCTGAGGAGAATATATGATGACATTTATCAATAATAGCTTTCAGATGCTTTCGTACACTAGGATGAATAAAACTATCGACAACTAGGACAAGTAATAGACAAATGTTTTTTAAAAATAGCGGAACAGGACTGCGCAGAAAAAAACCCTATTTTTAATCTAGAATTTACCCTTCCGGTTGCTTGTGAGTCCTCCTGTGTCTCGAGTTTGGTCTAGATCTGACCTTTGACCTTTCTTCTGAGGTCAAGTCCATGTCATTACTCTTCTTCTTGATAGCAAAGGGGTTGACACCTAACATACTCAGGACGGCTTTCAACTTCTGGCTTCTATGGGTGCATAAAGACAAAAATGAATAGTGGTATGATAATTTGCTTTAAAAGCAAGTGGAAGATGAGCAACTATAGTGTCATCGATTAGAACTCAAAATATGTGTCGTTTTCTCATTTCGAATCAAACAATGATATCTTATTTAACAATCATAACTTCATAATGGTCGGTAGATCACACCAATATAATGATTTCTATTCTTAATGATGAACTGCATTATATTATTCTGTCGAAACATATGCTAACTCTTGAGGATTGTTTTGCTTTTTGGTCTTAAACATTTAATTCTTTATAAAAAAGCGTATATGGCTCACCTTGCTATTCAAAACGTTCCATCCTCACTAATAACCAATCAAAAATTGTTGTTATAATGCGCTTCATCGGTTTATCGACCAAGGCACTAACAGACATATTATTAATATTATACAGGTCACTGGATTCAATTGCGATATTCTGTTTGTTATAAAGCTTTTTACCGGTTACCCGCCCTACGTACTAACTGTAATATTATTATTACACTGGATCACTAGATTCAATCACGATTCAACTTTAAAGTGAACAATCTTAACACTCCACCTGGGAGCATTCCACGCGGTCGACTATTTCAAGAGCGCGCGTTAAATGACCAACACAGACTCACATGATAGTGGGTTGTCCTCTCCGAAGTCTGACCGAGATCTTCTGTGTCTCCAGACTCCAGATGAGGATCTCTCCATCGAAGCTTGCCGTTGCTAGGAGACTGGGAGGACTGTAGTCGAAGGCCAGGATGTCGTCCTTGTGGACCTGACCGCCCTTCCAGTTGGTGTCTGCTTTCAGAAAGCTCGTCTGGAGAGGGGATGACGAATTTGAATCATGACATTGCTTCATTATAATTTGCTTATGTATCATCTACTCCATGATATCACAGAGTAGCAAATCTCGTCGGCTCTCCGCTTTGCTGAATACACCGTTGTCGCATTGTTATCTTTCATAAAAAAGGTTCAACATCGTCATGTGTTCTTAATTCTTGGTAAAGGATAAAGATTTAAGAAGAAATGTATGTTCGATCAAAAGCGGTGTTCGAATAGGAACTTGAAATGAGCTTCTTTGTTAGTGATCTAAAAATGCATTTCAATTAGCTTATGAAATATTAATTGGGGATCTATTTCAATTTTTGTAAAAGCCTTGTATTTACCTTTTGAGGTTGTTGATGGTTAAACATATACATCATATAATAACAATAAAGGTAAAATGTTCAAATCGATAGAACCCGCTCCCCATCTGTTTACCTTTTCAAGAAGGATTCATACTTTGACTCTTTTCAACTGTTTTGGCCAACGAAAAAATTGTGCTTGAAAACTAGCCCAAGGCTGTATTAAATTACACTGATGAAGCCAAAACATCACCTATCATATCGCAAAAATAATGTAACTTAAATCTTTAGAGTTGCAAGCATATAAATGAAAATATTTGATGCAAACATATGATATTTCACGACTTACATCACAGTCTCCATCTTGGTACTGGACTATCTTCCGGCTCCACCCGACGCTTAGGAAACCTTTCTTCTTCCCGACCGAGATGAGACCCGTGATCTCGTCATCGCCTACGCTCTCACATTCGTGGATGCTATGACCGTTCTGAAAGCTCCAAACCTTGGTCATCAAATATAAATATCGAGAAAAATCGTGAGAGTTTGAAATAATAAAGAGCAATGTTTCTTTAATTAAAGCTAAAAAAAGTGATTAAACGGAGTCGACAATACTGAAGAGAAATATATATATAATCAGTAAACGAAGGAGACGGAGCAATGTGGTAGAGGGGGGGGGGGGGGGAGGGGGGGGCGATTATACCCGCTCAGATATTTTTAACTCATGATTCTCATAAAGATAATTCTGAGCCCAGTCTTATATCGATTTTGTACCCAATATTCCAGTTATGGTTGCATTATGATTAAAAAGTTTGGGTTCAATAGGAAAATAGCCAAGTTTCTTGCTAAATCGGTTTGAGGGATGGTGATTTTAGGTGTTTTTTGTTTTTTTAGAGGAATGGGGATTGGTCTGTTTAATACCTTAATGGTTCCATTTCTTGCTCCTGAGTACAGTTTCCTTCCCGTCGTGCTGATGGTGAGACACGTGATCTCCTCGTTCCCATGAGCCTCTGGGATGGTGAAGGATTTGGCGCCAGTTTCCACGTTCCATATCGAGATGGACGAGTCGTCTGCCGCTGTAGCAACCTAAAATTGTAAAAATGACAATTAAAGTAATTTACACCTTTATCAAGTTAAGTTCAACTTAAACTATACTAAACTGAGGAAGTTTATTTGAATTGAATTCTTGGTTGAATTTATATCAAGTTAACTATTAGAATGTAAATGCGTGATGATGATAGTATTTCTGTAATATCTACAACATTTACGATGACATCCATATAAACACTTAGCAATACCACAGATTCAATTATTGTCAGATGGTATTTCGAAAATCATAGGATGTGTCCATCAAGTTCAATCCTTTAAAAGAACAATATTCCGTATTGGACTATTCGATAAATATTAATGATATTACATGGTTGCTGAAAAAGCTTGTCTCTCAAAAAAAATAAAAACATTATTAGAGAAAATAAAGAGGGTACACAAAAACTGAGCATTAAGAAGAGTATTCAATTCAATTCAACTGATTTTATTTCTCATGCAAAACATAACACAATTAATAAATATATTTCAAAAGATATTCAATGAAACGACAACTATTATAGTAATAGCACGAGAAAAGAGGAACCAACTAGAAGCAGAGCTTGTTGAAGTATTAGTTCCTTAGAGGCTGCTTTACAAAACGTCTTGAAAACAAAGTATACATAGAAAATCAATGAATTAACAAATATGTAGCAAAGTAATTATGAATTCTTTTGGGGAAAAATAAAAGAGAGGAAACAATGGGGGAAAATAGTAGAAGGCAAAGAAGAAAGAAAGATAGAAAAGGAAAATGAATGATTGCAATGAGACACATTTAATTTGATTACAGTAATATATTTAAATTATATTATTTTGATAAATTAAATACCCACCATTTTGAAGAATGAGTTGTACACGGTGCAGCAGAGCTGAGTCTCGTGTGTGACGGGTGTTCGTCTCTCTAAAGCATTGTTACGTCCAAGACTCAGAAGAGCTATATAATCTGCGCATGCCGCCATCAATTGTCGACCCTGCGTAGAGAAATGATCCATTATCAATTATCATTCTTATGCTTTTATAACTTCTAAAAGATAATGAATATTTTTGAAAGTATTTGTGTACTTTTGGTCCAAAGTGTATATTATATGTTCTTCTTTTTCTAATTTCAATCGCAGTCAGTTGAAGTAAATGTATGTATTGATTGTTGACAATGTCTTTAAATAATATTTCAAGTAAATCATACGCGTACATAATAATTCAGTTATAGATAGATGGTTTTGATTCGATTCGAATTTATTTCTTATCCGGTCTGCACATTCATAAATGAACATATGAAACAAAATTTAACAATAAATACGAAAAGCAAACTAATTTCACATTTCACATTTTAATTCAAAGGAAAGATAGTCGAAACGATTAAAAAAAATATTAATTGAAAAGCTTACTACTTATTGCTCTTTAGTAAAGGAAATCACATTAATTTCATTTCTAATTATACTTGCCTGGTATAAAACTAGGCTGACCATGCCAAATTCTGGATTTCGCGCGTTTTGTAGGCAGGCGAATCTCACACTGACCGTCTGGAGACATGTGTACTCGTAAAGGTCCCAAATCTTTACAACCTAATTATTACAAAAAATAGCAAGTTCAAAGAAATTCCATTATCATACATAAATATCATAATCAGTGAAGGAATTGTGGGACACCTATATCCATTATTTAAACTACGTGAACATAAAAAATAACAGATTTTGCCCCTTAATGATTAAATGTTTTCCATTGTGCCTATTTTCACAAAGGCATTGATCCGCCCCTGTATTAGCCTCTTGTCGATGCCCTCGCGCTGTTGGAGTCTCTAAATTCTGACGAGCGAAGCGAGTCAGAGAAACCGAGGCCTCGGTTTCTCTGACTCGGTTTCTCGCGCCTCGGTTTCTCTGACTCGCTTCGCTCGTCAGAATTTAGAGACTCCAACAGCGCGAGGGCATCGACAAGAGGCTACCCCTGTATAACCATAGGGGAACTTTTCTGAAATGATATTCAAGAACATAAGTTTGATGAATTCCTTAGAAATCAATTTACTTCTCCTTCCTACTTAAGCATTTCTCTTTGGAAAGGAGGGTACAAATATTTTAGGATGGACATTTATAATGGTGAAGAAATATGTTCTTTTCATTAAGCATTTTACCCTACATGTTCCGTAAAATGATCGGAAATTAAAATTGACAACACATTTACTCCCCTTAACCATATTGACGATGTATCGTTAACGAAATTGTAAATATTTTTGAATTTTAAACAAGTGGGGGGGGGGGGATTATTTACCCCGTCTTTTGCGAAGCTGTAGACGTGCTTGAAGCGTTCGTTGATGACCACGCCTACGACCGCCATCGTGTGACCACGAAGAAAGGCGATGGGTTTGTCCTGAACATACGGGTTCCACAGACGTACCACGTGATCAATACCACCTGTCGCGATCACGTTCATGGTGCGATTGTAATCGAAACATTCCACTCCCTGCAAACGAATGAAATAGTTTAAAGATTATGTCGAAAGAATAAAACAATCGAAGAAGGTGTTTATTGGGTTCTCTACGGCAGTCATTAAATTACGAGAAGATAATTATTTTTGCAGAAATTGTAATCAGACAGTCATCATATTTTGCCGACAATCAGACGATGGTGAAAAAAGGAAATATTTATGACGTAACTGACAATAATGCGGACAGAGACTTTTAGGACTAAGTGGACAACATTTCTGAAATTGGCAGATCCAAGGGAATGAACAAGATCCGGTCCACCTTTGGAAAAGCATGGACAACTTACCCTACGACATGCATTACCCACCCCAAGCTGTGTTTGGAAGGGTTTGTTGTTATTTCAAGAATGGTACTCGGGGGGGGGGGTCGAGAAAAAGCCTTTCGGACATACATTTTGCTCCATCCCCTTCATACAATATTGGATCCGCCCCTACTTATAGCAACTCCACATGTTGTACCTCCTTACCTTGCTGAGTTTGTAGGTGTAGGACTTTTTCTTCCCTTGGATGTCCATCATGATGAGGGGTGTCTTCCTGCACCCACTCGATGAGAGGATGAAGTCCTTGTCGGGGAGGTACCGAACCTTGCGGATGTCCTCGGCGTGGACGTTAGGAAGGACCACGTGACGAACGTACTTATGATGCTGGCAGATGTTCTAAAAAAGTGTATTGTTTAAAAGTCATCGAAATGTTAATTCATAGTTGTTGCATTACAAAATAGATAAACCAACCACCAAACAACCAACAAATGCCCCTTTGGCTTATTTTTTGAAAAAGTTATCAATTTTGAACGTTTCCCATGTTTGATGTTAGGTTTATGTATTTTGTGTAGGGTATCTAATATTCTTGCTTGCCATATCATATGCATTTTCAATATTTAGCACGATATTTACCATGATAGTAGGGAGGTTTTTATTCCAAACTCTCTGTATTCCTCGGAAAAGGGTACAAGAATTTATACACAGACATGCTAGGTTTTCATCACGTTCATTTTCCCATAGTTTGTAATAGTTTCTTGTGGAACGTGTACATCTCTGAATATCAAACTACAACTGATGTAACCATGGTCGGAGGATTGTCACCACCACCATTAAGTAAAAAAGATCGATTCATTTCGAAAACGTTTTCTTAAAAGTCACTTAAAAGGTTGGCCGGACAGGCACCATACTTGGAACATTATGGTGGTATCCGAATGTCAATAACACAAAAGTCTAATGAAGTAAAGAATCGGACTGTACTACTTACGTGCATCCATATTTTCTGTACAGTGTCTTCTGGTTTGAAGGGCGTCTCGAAGATCTTCTCTTGAGGTTTGAGGAAATAGAAGAGGTTAATGGATCCCTTGTCAGTACCCACCACCAACAGGGACTCACCAGAGGGGTTCTAGATGAGGATAGGATAGAAAAACAATAGTTATCATTATTATTAATCTTTATGTCCATGTATTGTTCGATTAATATTTGTCTATTTTGTTGTATAAACTACCAGAACAATACTCATCATCACCATTAACATAAAAACTCATCGTGTCCATCATCACACGACCAACTTTGTCCTATTCTCTTCCTCCTCCTCCTCATCACTATAAAAATCACTATTACCACCACCATCATCATGCCATCATCATTATCATTATATTTGCCATCATCGTAATCAGAATCATCATTACCACCACCTTAATTATCATCATCATCATACTCATCATCATCATCATTATCATTATCGTCATCATAATACTCATCAATATCATCATCATCATCATCATCATCATCATCATCATCATCATTATCGTTATCATCATCATCATCATCATCAATATCATCATTGTTGTCGTCGTCACCACCATACATGTAGCTTCACCACCATTGTCAATGCCTTTAACATAAACATCATCATCATCATCATCATCATCCTCACCACCACCACCTCCACCATCATCATCATCATCGTCACCATCGTTATTTTTACCTTTTTGTCGTACCAGTAGTCCAAACACGACGGAATGTCACTCAGAGCTGAAGAGGGATAATAATAGACAAGAGAAGTAAAGATGGATTATGAACTCCACCGTCAATCAAAGAATAATATATTCGTAAACTTTAAGCATTATTTTGCATATTAAGGACCCCATAAATGCATAGAAAAACAGCTGTTTTAAAATAGGCTATCCACCGTTTTGGTAACTGAAATTCCATTAATTTATTTATGTTTCATCTGATTGCGGAAAACCCCAGCTTGCAGCATTATGAAAGTACATATTCTCAAGTTTGTAATTTTTTGTGTTTATTTAATATGTTATTGTTTATCATTGTTTTTGTTTGTTATTGCGCTTAGGGACTTCGGCGGAAAGCTCTTTATAAGCACCGTTTTATTATTAAGTTCTATTTTGAAAGGTGAATTGATTGCATTTGAAAGAAATAAGCTCGCAGAATGGAAGAGTTATCACAATACTAGATAAACAATAGAAACAGAAACGAGACGAGCAAGCAAAAAAGACAAACCAAATACTCATTAATGCAATCAAGGACAACAGCTTGATACCAATGAGCTGCGACCTTACCGTAAAGATTAAACTGTTCAAAGCAGGTCTTCGCGTTGACGATATCCCAGAAGCGGATAGTTCTGCTGTTGGATCCGACAGCCAGCATGTTCACATTGGCCATGTAGACGATGTCGCTGTACCAGGTCTTGAAGCGTCTCTTGGATCCGTTGCGTGAATCCTCCATCCCGTCCTTGATCTCCAGGCAGTTCTCCAGGCGGAGATTCTCGTCGAAGAGGCACAGGGTCCCCTCCTGTCACGATTTAAAAAAAAAATGGGGACAGGCTTGCTTGTGTTTTCCTGGTTACTCAATTTTACTTTCTTGATCACGAATATTGTATTTGTATTTATTACAAAACTTCGTTCAAATGGTCAATGAATATATGTGTTTTACAATGCATAGGCATAATAATTATTACAAATATGAAAACGAAATCGTTTAAAAGATATATGGAAACAATATGAATAATTGAACAAGTATGTATTTATGCATTACTTCAAATTAAATTAAATGCTTAGAAAATGACAAAAATATTTAACAACCACTAGAAGTATAGCATAGAATTGTGCATTATATGAAAGTCTGACAACTAACCCTGGCCTGGACAACTAGTACATGGACCATTACCCTGTACGATGCCCAACCCGGAAAACTACCACCAGGCAACTTTGTCCAATAATTATTTCCAACAAACATGACAAAGAGAATACTTCAAACATTATCACAGTATTAAATATCAATTACTTTGATTTTCTGAGGGAGAGTCTGAAACGCATTTAGCAATGTCACCCTTGACAAATTTCCTCGTATTCCATAATCTTCCTCTCACCATCCTCACTGCGTCACGAGCGCTCATACTACATAGGCCCATTGTATACGGTGCGTCATTTCACTTGCGCTATTCTTTGCGTTGATCACGCATGTGACGGAAATCGGTTCTTAGGTCAGGAATTCAACACAAGTTTAGCAATGTTCATTTTAAGTTCACTCTTTGTACGAAAGCACTCTCGAATGGCGAGTCAAAAGCAGCGCCAATCACTGACGCAGACCTACGTCAAAGAAATGACGCCTCATGCACAATCATTAGAATTAAGTACCTTGCTAAGGGTGACATAACGACACGGGTTCTCCAGAACGATCGTACACCATACGATGTCTTGCTGTAAATACAAACAAACAACATAATTATTTGATTAGTGAAACTCCAATATTTCTTAAAGTAATAATGATAAAGATGATAACAACAGGGCCTAATAAGAAGCACAACAAATAAGTTGTGGCAATGGTATGCCCGATGAAATTTCAGCGATGAAACGTCTGATATCAGAGGTGGTGTGGTGTTTTCTTACTGACCTTAGTATCACTCATTATCTTGACAAGAAAGTACACCGATTATGCTACATAATGAAAGAAATGAAATGAGGGATTCCGGTTCCTTATCTTTATGTATTATCTATGTACTTATTAAATAAGTTTATGATTATCTTTTTTGTGTGGAGGTATCCACATTCTACAAGCTCTGCTTGTCTTCTCAGTGGATGTCTTCATTTTCATAGTTTTGTATACTTAAAAAAGAAGAAGCATTACAGAAACTATATATTCTCTTAAATCAATGATTTACAAAATGCATTATACTAATGTACATTGATATCTGTGATAGATTTCTTATATATATTGATTTTTCTGTCGGAAATGAAAATAAAACTTAAACTAAAACTGAAATATACTTGGTGGTATGGGGTGGACGAGAAGGCGGGGACGGTAGATTTGAATAGTTCTCTTATCTTATACCGGGCATGGTGGCTCAGTGGTTAGAGCGCCTGCCTCATGAACGGGAGGTCGTGGGTTCGAAACCCGGCCGAGTCATACCAAAGACTTATAACAATGGGACCTTCTGCCTTCTAGCTAGGCGCTCAGCATATTAGATTGGAGAAGGGTAATAATAACATATTATGTTATGCAGGGCCCGCTGGAAGAGCAGTTTCATAACTGAAGTGGCTACCCAGGGTAAATAAAACGTTATTATTATTATATATTACAAATGATTACTTTGTTTTGTGCGATGTGTCTTATCTTGGGCTCCTTGTTGAAGACCACGTTCTTCCTCAGTTTCATGTTATCATTCTCTCTGTAATGCAGCAACATGTAGGTGACGAACTCGTTCCAGTCCACCATACCGTCTGCTGACGTGTCAACCTTGAGAGTGACAGTGAGAGAGAGAGAGAGAGAGAGAGAGAGAGAGAGAGAGAGGAAAAGAAGGTGAAGGTTACAATTGTATTTATAATTGAATTATTCACGAAGTACGATGCATGGTCATGACAATGTTGTACAGTATATCATTCAACTGTAAGGGTGCATGAGGGGGTGTGTGGGGATCGACATCGACACCCCGTCATAATTTCTGGAGAAGAGTTCATGTTTTCTATTGCTGGCAATTCTGAAGCTTTCTGAGTGTCATCGGAAAATCTTTAAAATCAATCTGAGAATCTTGATTTGTTATTTTTGGATGATCGTTGGAATATTTCGTGCCAAATTTGCTCCCCCCAACCTGCATCCAGAATGGTATAATGTAGATCTCGTAAGGCACGGAAAGAGATAAGATAATATATTTATTCGTCTTTCTTTCAAATGTCACACAGAGCATAACATGAAGGAGAGGGAAAGAGATAGAATGAAAAAGAAGGAGAGAAGGAGGAAGAGATACTCTTTTCACACTGGTTTTGCTTAACCCCGTACTTTGCTTAGCCCCGTACTATCCTTAACCCCGGACTATTTTTTTGGCTTTTCACACTCGCTGTTTTTAGTCCCGTACTAGCGCCTATTCCGGAATAAGAAAATTCCCGCTGTTCTCACTGCATTTCGTTAACCCCGGATATCGTGTATGTTATGATAGGACATACTTCGCATTTGGCCAGCTGCGATACGCTCCATTGCGTAGTACCGGACTATTTTTCGTTTCTGTTCTCATTCGTTTGCTTAGCACCGCAATTGCGGGGTTAGCAGGAGTTAGCACCACAATTGCGGAGTTAGCCCTGCTATTTTGCAGGGTTAGTTAACCCCGTACTATAGGTGGGGTTAGCCAACTTTAGCCCACTTTGGTAAAAGCCAGTGTGAACAGAAAGTGGAATAGGCTTAACCCCGTACTATAGGTGGGGTTAAGACCTCCTTAACCCCACCTATAGTACGGGGTTAAGGAAAATATTGCCAGTGTGAAAAGCATAAGAGAGAGAGAGAGAGAGAGAGAGAGAGGGAGAAAGGGATAGAGAGAGAGAGAGAGAGAGAGAGAGAGAGAGAGAGAGAGCAGAAAAGGGCAGATATACCTTAATGACCTGATTAAACACAATAGCATTATTAACCGGCAGTGGAGCTCAATGGCCGCCCATCTGATCTTTGCTCTCATGAGAAATGCGAATAATGGAGAAAGTATCGAACACATCGATTTCTCTACACAGCCCTCAATATTTCTTTCTTGATATTATTAGGTGAAGGTCGTCTTCTAGCGGAAACATCGAAACGTTGACCTGAGTCGTATATTTCTTATTCACCTTCGTACTTTCCTGTTTCCCTGCTCTCATATTCCCTTGTCTTGTAAATTTATTTTAATGTCTTGTCAAGTTATTCTCCGTTGTAAGTCTTTGTTGGCCTTTACATGTTCACCCCTATGTATAATGTGCATGTTGATATAAATCTTCAAATTGTGGATCTATAATCATAATATCACTCTCCACTTACAGGTTTATGTCTTTATTTGTCTTATTTGATTTTTTTTTAATGTAAATGTATTTATTACATACATGTATGACTATCAATATTTGAAGGATCCACATTCTACCAGCCCTGTTTCTTTGTGGATCCTCCATTTCCCCGTTTTTATCAGCAGATTCGTTTGAGCTGACACCCCCCATTAAATAGGAAAGAGCTGGTAACGCTACCGCAAGCTACCAATAAATTATCGATGTAAAAAAAATGATAGGGCTCAATAATCGACAGAATGCAATTATGCAAATGCTCAAGGCATCCCAGATTAAATATTGAGAACATGATAACCATAGGTAAATACTAGTTCTCATTTCGTGCGGTTTCAAGCGTGAAGCGAATTTTTATTACTATCGAACGCGTGGTTGCGTTGTGAAGACCGTTACCATGGCAACGTGTGCTAAATGTTCATCTTTGCTGATGGTTAACAATGTGGCAAACGGTGAATTTCTTGGTTCTATTTATTCATAGCTGAAATTGAAGCAAATAAGTCACCATGACATTTAAGAGATAGCTTCAGTATTTTGTAGATAGTTTAACCTTTTCCACCATTTCCGCCATTTTCGCTGATCTTGATAGCCGCTGTTGGTTGTTACTTAGGCATTTGTTTGTACTACTATTTGAGTAAATTATCGTGTAAAGATAGGATCGAAGTCAAACGTAGACAAATAATCTTTGACAGATGTCTTTTTGTTGACAGCTTCATGAGTATGCGTTTCTAAATGTCACAACAGATCAAGCATAAGAATAAATGAAAGGCTCCTTACCATCTTGAAGAGGAGAAGATAATTGTCACAGGAGAAATATGAAGAAGGAGAAGAAGAAGGAGAGGGAGAAGAAGGAAAAGAAGAACAAGAAAAAGAAGAAAAGGAAGAAGAAGAAGAAGTAGAAGAAGAAGACGAAGAAGAAGAATAAGAAGAAGGAGACGACGACAACGAAGAAGGAAAAAAAGATAATGATGATGATGGTGATCACCAATAAAGAAGGATATAGAGGTATGGAAAGCGAAGGAGAATAAAACCAAACCTTTGCAAAGAGTGCTTCGAGATGCGCATCCCAGTCAGACGATTTCAGCAGACTCCTGACCATATTTTTGAACTCTCCCAGGGTCACGTTTCCCGCCTCTCTCCTGATGATACGACCAGGGGAGTAGGTGCCGTCGTCGGGCATCTCGTCCGTGGGTTGGTGGACGGCAAACTGCGACATGAGCTCCTTGAGGTGGTCCAGGTTGAGCTGGTCTTCGAACAGGGTGACCCCATGACCCTCGCTAAGGAGAGAGAGAGAGAGAGAGAGAGAGAGAGAGAGAGGGGGGGGAATTAGGGAATGTTGGGTGGTGATTAGGGTAATGATGATGATGGTAATAATCAGATGCACAAAGGTAATACGAAAATAATAATGATACTAATTATGATATAGTAACGATCACCATCACCATCGCCACCACCACCACCACCAACACCACCACCACCATCACCACCACCACCAACACCATCACCCTCACCACCACCACCAGCACTACCACCACAACCACCATCCACCAACACCCCTTATTATTTCCACCTCCTCTACTTCTCCATGTACTCTTCCTCGTTATACTACTACTACTAGTAGTAGAAGTAGTACTACTACTACTTCTACTACTACTACTACTACTACTACTACTACTACTACTACTATACTACTACTACTACTACTACTACTACTACTACTACTACTGCCACCACCACTTCTACTACTACTACTACTACTACTACTACTACCACTACTACTACTACTACTACTTCTACTTCTATGTACTACTACTATTACTACTATTACTACTATACTACTATACTACTACTACTACTACTACTTCTACTACTACTACTACTACTACTACTACTACTACTACTACTACTACTACTACTACTACTACTACTACTACTATTACTACTACTACTGCTACTACTACTACTACTACTACTACTACTACTCCTCCTACTACTACGACTAATAATAATAATAATGATACGACTAGTAATTCTACCATTACAAAACCAGCAAATATGCAGATTTGCTGATTTCTATGTGAAATTCACATTGAAGTAGCAAGGTTCTTTATTGCTTCCTTCATTAGCTGCAGTATAATGGATCATGCAAATATGCGTCTTCAGCGGACGTTATTAATTTGACTTTATTGACTATATATCACGCATGCACTGGGTACATGAAGATCAATTTTGTAATTAACTTTCGTCTCATCGAGAACGCTAAGAGTATCTATCATCTACTAGTAAATTACTGGTAGAAGAAGATTGCTGAAATGTACGGCACAATTTTGCTCAACGCCTCGGATGGCTCTTAAAAGCAAGTCATGTCCTTGCAATGGCAAAACGGTGTAAAATAGACCGGGAAAATAGAAGTCGATGAAATACAAGACAATGAAATGTATGATACTGAAAAGCCACTGCTTTCACGTTCTGATATAAAGTCAGTGCAGTGAACATTGTGCGCATCGATTTAAGTCGAATTGATTTGTATATACTTGCACAGAGATGTACAGTAGATATATTGTAAACTATTGTTTGGGTAATAAAATCGTAATGCTATATTCATTTCTAGCCTGCAAACTGTTTAATTATAATGCAGAAAACCTTGTGTGTTATTAAAAACACATTCAAATATAAATGAGAAACACACAAAGACAAAACCATGTATAAATCTTAGTATATTATCATTCTTCCTTGAGCAAGTAAGGACATTTTGACTCCATGCAACATAAAACCTAACAATTTACTGTCATTGCTAGACCAACTGTTATCACGGCCCAGAATGCCCGGTTGCTAAGGGATCACATACATCAAGGACCGTCAGACCCTTTCTCCTCGGGCTAGGAATTCATCAGGAGAGTGCCAATTGCTTCCAAGATGGCCGTCTTGATGGCATCAAGTACTACATAAGCAAATACTCTTACTTGAATAGTAAACAAATCCAACATCTTTACACACCACGGCGCCCTGGACAAGCCGCCATTTTGCTTTCTTTCTGTTTATTCTTTCATGAGGTATGTTTGCTTGGTATACATTGTGTGAGATAGTGCGAAGTGGAGTGAAGAGCATTGCAGGGGCTTTATATCACTAAAACTCGCTTGGTCATGCATTTAAATACCAACTGGACAATATTTGCCCTACACTCGAAAGGGCAATTGGTGCTATGAGCTTCTTGTAGCACTTACTGGAGTGTACAACTTTCAAATTCGAAATTATCCGATGATTGGGCCGCTTTAGAATTATTGATATGATCATGAAGGAGATGTACTAAAAAAAATATAATATTCCTAAAGCATTAGTATTATGAGATTCTTTCCAGGCTAATAATTATTTATTTTCTATTGTCGAACCAACTTGCTATATTCATGTCTGTCTGAGTAGTAATAAGGATGTTCCGCTTTTATAAAGCGCTTAATACATCAACGATGTCTCTATTAATATAGCGCTTTACAGAATTATTACCAAGGTCGTCGGATTCAGACTTGCACGCACACAATGTATGCACATTCTCCACTCCCTAGGGAGCATTCCAGCCAGGCGTCATTTTACAGAGGCTCACACTGCTGAGCTAAATTACATGGGGAATACTAACATCTTTACCCCCATACCACTCCTCATGATGTACTTCTACGATTTCAAATCCCCCGATCAAATCATTGACTGCGAGGTAAAAACAAGGCTAAATGATATTTTCGGCTCGGCTCGGCAAGCTGTCCAATAATGATCTCTGTTTCAGTGTTGAACATAGCCATCAATCAGAGAGAACAAAATGGTCAAATTTCCGCAATGTTGTTAATTGATTTAAACATGATTGATGAGGCCGAGCAGAAAGCTTGATTGTTTGCAAAGTGCCAGCAGTCATTACGACAGCCAAACATGAAGGTTGGAAAGACATGTTTCTCATTTCCATAATGTTGTTAATTGATTTAAAGGGCCCATGACATCGAAATAGAAGTGTGTTCCTGTTGGTGTGCAGTCCTGCATACATTTCATATTTTGATATGTAAACTTCTGAATTTGTTTTATAGATTTTTAAATATTATTTTTGTTTGAAATATTTGTTTTTCAAACTTGCTTAGCTCCACCCCCAAAACCTCCAGATCTCATTCCCCTTGTGGCATTATCTGTCAATGAGCTAACTTGAGAAAGTGGCATGTAACACTGCCAAAGTTGACCACCTGTTACAATACCACAAACAATAACAACGTATAAGTTGCTCTGTCAGACATGTCAGACTAAACTAAAATTCTAGAATAGAAAATGGTATGTAATTTCCCCCAGCTTAGCACACTTTAATAATAGAATTGCATGCTTCTATATTATGTACAATACATCATCATTGCCTTTGTCTCCCAGGATGTCTGACATAGCAACTTGTATGTTGCTATTGTACGTATTGTAACAGGTGGGCGACTTCGGCAAAGATAGATACCACTTTTTCAAGCTCATTGATGACTGACAGATGCTGTCACAAGGCGAATGAGATCTGAAGGTTTTTGGGGTGGAGCTTAGCAAGTTTGAAAAACAAATATTTTAAAAAATATTTAAAAATCTATGAAACAAATTCAGAAGTTTACATATCAAAATATGATATGTATGCAGGACTGCACTCCAACAGGAATACACTTGTATTTCGATGTCATGGGCCCTTTAAACATGATTGACAGGACTGAGCAAAAAGTTTGATTGTTTGTAAAGTACCAGCAGCCACGACAGCCAAACATGAAGGGGTATGGCATTGGAAAAAAACTAAAATGTATTACATTATCGCCACTAAGAGGTTTTGAGTGGCGGCTTATGATTTCCATGTTTGCATGTACACTGACAACGTTTCTAAGATTTAACATTTCACACTGTGCATTTTAAGCCCATATCTATTATGTGAAAAGAGGAGAAGGGGCACATTATAATTATCTAGTTTAATCGCCCTGGCATGTCTTAACGCAGGGGTCTAAAACACTAAAGCTTTTGAGAATGTTACTATATGATTTTAATCCATAAAAAATTAACAAAAAATGCAAAAAACGAAGAAAAACAAGGGAAAAAAACAAAAACAAAAACAAAACAGAACAACACAAAATAACCCAATTTACTTCAAATAATTAGCCTACACACTTAATGCAACATTTTTCGATAAGAAACTTTCTCCTCTTTCCCTTTCAATTCTCCCACAATTTCATCCTCTCCCCTCTCCCTCAAACATTTCGACATCTACAGAAGATTGGGACCATGTTTCCATAGCAACGGTAGCCGCCATCTTGTAAGCAAGAATGCGAAAGTACACTTTCTTTCTGTCCCAAATATACAGGTTACTTCTGTTATCGGAGAGTTTAAAAGGCTTACAACTGGTTCTATTCTTAGTTTAAGAATGGTCGTCCTTGTTCGCCTTTTCTCGGGTCACTAATGCTACTCTATCCGATCCTTGTTATTCTATCTTCAAATCCGATCAGCTACAGACTACAGTTCTCTATAGGAATTCCACTGGTTTTATTTTTCTAGTGGAATCCATATACAACGGTGATAAGCAGATCGGCATTGTGCACCCTACGTGATAACAAGAACATTATCATTATTATAATTATGTGTTAGACAGTAGACTAGAGTCAGGTGAAAATATTTGTATCGTTTAAAAACATCCTATAAATTATGCTTTTTTCATTTAATATTAAAAAATAAGTCAGTTCTTTCAAGACTTTCCGTCAATATCAATCCTAAGAGATATATTATGAACAGCAAGAACAAACAAACAAACAAACAATAACAACAACAACAATACAAAACATAACATTGACAACAAGGACATTTGATATAATTATGTTTCAAATAGTGTAGATATTTAAGGCCATTTCTGTATATGTGCATAAAATGCACGTACATTGTAGAAGAGTCATACTTAAATCCCCTTAAAACAAAACATTAACGCCTAAACGATGATTTCTGTTGTTGCATGTAAATGTTGTTCTCTTCTAAATATTTAATAGATCTTTGCACATTTCAAATCACTTTAATATTAATATGAAAATATTAAAAATAGGCCTACCCTGTACTATGAGAGGATAATTACGTAGTGATATTGATTTCTGAAATCAAATGTCCCGTACAAAATAAAAGGGGAAGTCTATCCCTTTAATGATGTAGACATTTCTTTTATTATGCTATATATCAGATTTGGATTTTGTTTGACATTTCTGAAGATACATCTACATATTATATGTTATCTATTGTTCGTTATCTTAACGGTATTGTATTTCGAAGGTTTCATCATTAGCCTTACCTTCAAAATATTATGATAATTATTGACAAACCTCCGTCACCTGTACTTCTAATCATACCCGTATTCTAAACATACAAACGATGGGCGCTCAAACAGAAATCCTTTTTCAGTAACTGGGTAAAACCAGTATTACATAATGACAGGGGGTGGGGTAAGTGGGGGCACAGACTTTGACTTGTGGGCAAATGTTCCCTTGCCTCACTTGTGCCGCTCTTGAACGGTATGGACATGCAACCGCTTTAATTCAATTCAGCGCCATTCCAATTTACTTTAAATGACCTTGACGCCACTTTACACCGAAACAACCGACATTAATAAAAACTGGTTTGAAATCATTTTGTCGGCCAAAGCGAAGAGGTGGATTAAACTCCCCCAAGGTCGGCGAATCGATGAGGTATTTAAAAATTATGTTTCTGTCATGTGCTACATGAGTCGCATGGTATTTCCTTTATCAAAATACATGTTTGTGTCGATTGAAAACAGACCTACTATCCCAAAGATTTTAATTTGTGCTTATGATACCGTGCTCACAAATTGCCGATGGTTAATCAAATTTTGATCAGTGTTGATGAATTGCAATAATGTTGACTGAAATATATCGGTCATGAAGTCGGCATGGAGGACGAGTACTGTAGTCATTTTCATATTGTTTTATTTTGTTATTTCTGTCGGCAAGGGGATGGAAGCATGAGTTAAAATTGTGAGGAATATTGCAAATGGAGCTATGATATTAAGCTGATGTGTTCAAAGGGGCGGAGTTAATCTCGATTTCACAAATCAATCGAGGATGGATAATTGCGAAAGTTATAGTGTTGAATGCAGCAATGACGCACAACGCTGAAACAAAAACAGTTTTTCACTTTCATTCGCTTAGAGCGAAAAATAATCGCAAGAATATGGCATCGCAGAAATGATAAACAGTTTTTTATTTATATTATAGAAAATTGCAAGCGCTCACATGCGCATCAACACTTTAAAGGGCTTTTCTGATTTTGTTAAATGCCTGAATTGTAATGTGCATGTATACATCCACAGCATTTTATAGACTTTCATTTTCATTGAATACAAAAATGGTCGTGCATTGATACAATTATGATCTTGCTCTATTGTTATTTCCAGTCCATTTTTGACCAATGCCAACGTTAATTTCCGCTTTAAAAAAAGTACAATAGAAAGTGCTAAGGTGGGGGATCTAATTTTTCAAAATAAGCACGCAGTTCAGGGTCAGCAAAACACTGTAGTTCATAACACCATTATTGGGTGTCAAAGCAAAAGTGGGGTCAAGTATCACAGTTGACAAAAGTACAAGCTATACAGTGAAGGGATAAGAAGACAGAGAGAGAGAGAGAGAGAGAGAGAGAGAGAGAAGGAGAGAGAGAGAGAGAGAGAGAGAAGGAGAGAGAGAGAGAGAGAGAGAGAGTTCCCAAATGATGAAGAGAAGGGAATACAACAAGCTAATGATGAAAAAAAAAACAGATACCGTAGTTCCTTGAGATTAAGACGTGATCTCCAATGGCTATACCGTATACGTGCACAGAAACAGACAGGACCAGCAAACAGAAGTAGAAATGTGAAATTGTGAAGAGTAGCAAACAGGGACAAAATAAACACTGATTATCACCCCAAAAACTCTTCAAAACCACAGGCATGACAATCAATAAGAACAACAGTCAACATGTCAACACGAAGGATTCGAAGCTCTCTTGACTTCTACACCAAGTTGTATGCTGTACAGTATAACAAAGAGCGCAGTTGACTTCTTACAAATCATCCTGAAGTGTTTTAGAAAGAGGAAACGATGGAGAATTTAGAGCGTCGCGCCTGTTTAAAATATCAGCTTTTGATACAGATTAAGAATTAAAATCAACCTTACTGAACGCCTTGTAAAAACAAGAAATCAACTTGATCATCGGGCAAAAAACAGCGCTTCATTACAAAATACATGAAAAACGTGCTCAGTATAAAGTGTAGTTTTCAACTGTTTATGTCATTTACCTAATATCCTTTCTACTCGGTGTAGACACACCTGTAGCTAAGCAACTATGGCTTTACTGTTTGATTGCAATTTCATGAAGCCTGTGCAATTAAACCTACCTCAATGCTTCAAAAATACAAGAGACAATTAACAGATATGCCGGGTGCGAAGGGAGCCAGAGTGGGACGGTTGCTTTTCATTATCATTTGTGATAAACATGACATTTCTATGTTTTCCGTTTGCCTAACGACATTCTAAAGATGCATTCATTCATTGTCTACTAGTAAGAAAGCTATAATCAACGTTGATAAACATGTTGAGTATTATTTGCTTCTTGTAGCCAAGGCATGTTTGTTTATACCCTGCTCCAAAGACTGTTTGTTATAAAAAGCTACAAAACACTTGCCTTCCTTCAAATATGCTTTTTTGTTTGTTCCGTACGAGCTTCATGTGGAAAACACAGCCAATAGTCAATTGCTAAGGAGCAACACGTAGATCTCTTAATTATTCATCAAATTCTGCGCTTAGATAATTTATATTTATTAGATATATATTTTAAAGCCTATAATGGATTTGATCCTAATAGAGTTTGTTGTAAGTGAATCATCACGTACAGAAAAAAAAAGATAAAAAGAAAAGGGGAGAAACGCAAAAACAAAAACACAAACCCAACACGAACCAACGAACAAGAACCCATCAATATTGACATAAAAGTAAGAATAAAGATATGATGTCATTTCAACCTTTATCATTCTAAAAAAAGTAGTAATAAGAATTCAAATAACCAAATTAAGTTATTTAGCAATCAAGTTTCATCTAATAGTTATATTCCAGCGCTTCGTCATATTTCTTGACGGTTTCCATTTTCATAAAACTGAGATACAGTCACGAGAGCTCTTTACCACAATTTACTATCGAATTCGACATTGATGGATTTTTCATATTATTATGGAGATTGAGATGAAATGAGTTGAGTTGACCAATATGTCATTATTACGTTTTCCGGTCAGAAATTGATATTATTGAAACCCTCACGTAGAACCCAACCTTCATGCATTTTGGATCACGAACAGCATACAATGGAAAGCAAGCATGAAATATTGCATCCAATGCAGATCATATGCATTATTATCAAGGTCATATATTTCTACTTTAGATTTCATGATGATTTTATTTACAACATGTCAACCATTTACAATTTTTATAATTTTATAAATAATTTAGGGCCTGAATTCTTGGAGCAAATTCTAAGACACTTCCTCATTGCAAGGAAAAGCTTATGAAATATGTTGTGAATTATGCATGATTTTCATGATGCTTTTACGTATTTTTTAATTTGACGTGTACGGCGATACCTTTGTATTACCAAAACTAGAATTTTTATTCGCAGAGTAAAACAAGAGCGTAAACATTAAATCAAACCAAATATTAGACATAAGTTAATTAAATTTAATTTACATGTAATATAAAAGCAAAATAAGTAAAATAAAATGAAAATGAAATGAAATTACTTACTCAGTATCCATCTTGGTTTTTCTTTTCGTAGCACAAGTTTCAGTCTTTTCCTGTCATCGGCCACCTGCCCGATAGAGTTCTCTTTTGTCTATTTCCCTTCTCCAGAGATTCGGCTCATCTCCCATCTTCGTGATCCATTTTGAAATTTACTTATGCGATCCGCGAGAGATAATTCCGAAAAAGGACACGCGGGAAATATAACAAAAAACGAATTCAATGTTCTTCTTAAGGTATAGTATAATTGTCACGAATTCGGTTTGCTACACTCCATTTTTAATCAGATCTCTTTTTAAACAGTGCAAACTCCAGGACAATAAGAAATACTAGGAGCTTCTTTTACTGTCGGCTGCTCAGCTCAGTCTATCGCACGAATATATTTCCACAATTTATTTCCACGGAGACTCGCTTATATCATATATATTAAATATCCTCAGCTATATGGTCCGAGATGCCTGGAAATTGCTTCAGAATAGTCTTCAGTGCAACTTTCTTTTTCATCAGTACGCCGTCTTTGTCACGTCTTCATTAATATCATATATGCTCCGGAAATAGCTAATGGAGCGATTACTTGCAATTCCGTGATGCCTTCCAAAATAGGATGGTAGTTGCTGCATGGATAGGTATAGTGGAGCCTTTCACGGTAGAAATCTGTTAAAAAAGAAAAGAAAAAAGAATTGATGAAATATATACTATATACATTCCTGGCGACTTCTTTACCATGTAAATTGACAGAATTAAAATGAGGGTAGTCGTGATAAATCAGGAATGTATGTTAGTTCCAACCTTTCCAAATACTGTTCCAATATTAGTTACAGAGAGACGTGGTAAATAAAGGGAAACGATTTATTTTATTGTTGTTATTTTGATCTTTTCCTAGGGTATAGCATAATAATTAAAGTGCTTCACTACCGTGCTATATTTCAAATATATACCAGACAGTAGATAATAAAGTATTGCCATTATACTCAAACATAGATATTTTTTTTTTCAGTTTGAAAATCAACTTCCGACAGAAACTTACAGAAAGTTCAGGAATATACAAACGAAAGTGATCGTGACTTTGTAAAGCTAAATAAATACACAATTTTGACAAACGCCGCTCTGTCGCCGTATGATTTTCATCGTTAATGCACTTTTAGTTGACTTTATACATTTACACTTATTGTGTTACAGCCATTATTTCTGTATATATAAACTGCAAACATGATCTTACTATATAGATTGTCGGTATGACTTTTGAACTGATAATATATCTATTAACCCGAACGTGAGATCACTTAGCAATCGGAATTGTATTGCTACAAATATTGAATTATACAGAGTTAGATTGTCAAACGTGCTTCCGCATGGAAAATGAGGCCCATTATCAGCAAACTGATCAATTATGCAAATCATTGCAGCGGTTCACGCCCATGTTTGCCAATTTCTGATAAGTTGGTGTTTGAATTGGTTTGGTGTTATTTTCTGTAAAAAACACATATCTATTACATACATATGAACATAAAATTAAAGATAACTGCTTAAAAAATACAAATGGATCGCTCTATTCAGAGCCATTAATTTTAATCGCTCTGTTCTTCCTAGAGTTATGTGCGCATACACACGAATCGAAATTTTGTAATGGGTGGTTGCACTTAAAACAAGTTTAAATCATCACAGAAAATTTACAAAGTGTGCTTAGATTTTCAATAACAATGATTTTCTATAAAATAAATTATGGGCATCGAAATGTAATTTTTGAGCAAATGATGTAATTTTTGTAGATACATTTACATAATGCATATGTGATATGAATCTACAAAGTGTTCGTACGATGCGGTCGTTTCTTAAAACTAGTCACCATATGGCTTAAAAACATTTACAAAGATGTATTTTTTTACACTTGCACATGTGTAAAGGCCTTATGTATAGGCCAACATAAGGTAGTATATATCCTCAAGTTATATGAATTGAATTACTAGAATCATGACGATGTTGTTTTTGCCCCAATTTTTATTTCCGTGAAGATGAAAGAAAAGCCATGGTGGAACAGTCGATGTTGGTTGAAACCGTTATCTTCTCACGTTGAAAATAATTATCTGAAACCCGTTTATGAAAAGGGGTCAGTGTGCAGAACGGTGTGTAGAACTATTTAGTAGTTCGTCATTCTCTTTCTCATTTCTAGCTTTCTGTTTGAACTGTGACACAGCTTTGAGGGGCTTAGCATTGCCCATCTCTTAGACGTGAAGAGAATTCAAAAGAGACAGAGTAAAGACGTGTTGGCTGAGAACTAAGTAAACCCGAGTTTGGATTGTTGCTGTTGTATTATGGATGAACAGACGGCAAAAGTTTTTTTTGTGGCAAACACAAACGACGGAAGGGTTCATAAAATATATATACGCTACGTGTTGAAAATGTTGAAGGAAAGAAGTGACTTTGAAGTTCAATAAACGAATGAATAAATGAATCAATCAATCGACCAATCAATCAATCAGTCATAACATTTATTTGTGTATAATTATCTTAAGCTTGATATTGAGCATCGAAATTATATTCATTTATAAGAATTGAGTAAGAAATGGTCTTTATTTAAGGGGCAGGTACAAGATGATGTGACATTTAGTACCCCAAATTAAATAAAAAATTGTATTCCACCTAACCATTGTATTTAGTTGATAACCAATGTCGGCAGGGAAATGCCCAAATAATAAAATACTACTTTCGATGTAAATTTTATCCACAATTCCTTACACACGTACATGCATGTTTTTAACACAAATCTACATAATGCTCCTCGACCTGTCAATAGATGCTTATTATGAATGTGTTAAACTTGGCAATGATGATTTATCATCACCTGGGCCCCGTCTTACAAAGAGTTGCGATTGATCCAAATCAATCGCAAGTCCTTTAATCAATCGCAAGTTTGAATACTCCTATCTCTTATGTACATGGTTGCGATTGATATCAATCGCAAATAAGTTGCGATTGATATGAACTCTTTGTAATAAAGGGCCCTGGTATATTATACCAACCTATTGTTGATGCCCTTGCATTTTTGTCGTTACACAAACTACTTCTGGTGCCTACCAATAAAGATACATGTGCATGTATAACTTTGAAAGTGACAGTCTACATACATACCAGTTTGTACTTTATAGATTATAAGGCCGTGGTCTAATTCATAATTAATTCATGAACATTATTCCATAAAGGCAATAGTGCACCATTCAAACTGTTTCAAGGCTAGACATTTACGTTGTTTGAACACCAGTGGAAGTCTAACATAATTATTCTGATTGCTTTAACAAGTATTTTATCTAAAGTGCTCTCGGACCCAGTGAAAATTATAATATTTGAACAGTTTGTTGTGACTCTTATCCCAGGCTCTTCGCGTGCCTTTGATAAAGAGTCGCGTTGCCAGGGAATAAGGAGTCAATATGAGACACATAAATCCACAATTGTATTTACAGAAGGTCTGTGGGTATTTTTTTTCTTTTTCTTTCTTCCTTCCTGTCCTTTTTTGTGTAATCCACAAAATTACAACCTCTGCTTTTTTGTGTGGATTTCTCTTTTCCTTTAAAATTCGACTTAAAGGTAAAGACCAGTTATGGTTATGCGATTGCATTGTGAAAGAAACGTTGTGGAATCGATCAGAAAAGGTTGATCATCTAGCATCTAGCATCTGCAAGGTTCTGGAATCATCAAAATGATAAGAAATTTGGCCCATTCTTCGTAAAGTTACAAGCACTATACACAGAAAGATGTATATGGGACTACCCTATATCTCTCACAGACCATGAGAGAAACAAATTTACCAAATATATGAATTAGTAGGCGGTTTCCCGGCAAATTTTTTATCATCATGTATTAGTCAAAACATATTCTTTCACATGATTGGTAATGAGAGCTTCCATTTCGTTTTTTGAAATTGGGGCGTTTCCAATACTGGTCTTTACCTTTAATGTATGACATGCATGTATATTTTGTATCCTAAAATGCTTTGATTACTAATTGACATTTAATATTGTATAGTTTCAAAGAAGTTTAATGTCCATGGTCATATTGTAAATGTCATAAATTTCATTTTAGCATTTGTTTTCATGTTTTGATTGGGTTATGGAAATAAAACTATTTGAATTGAATTGTATCGAAACGATATAGAGTAGGAGAGGATGCAATACATGTGCATGTAAAATAAATATAAAGTGAGGAACAGTTGCATATTTCCATACGTCTCTTCTGATATGAAACATATTGTAGCTTTTAGACAGGTTTATCAAAAGCCCTAACATATCAGCTCACACTTGAATTAAAAAAAATAAACCCATAAACAAAACAAACTCACTTACATTACATCCTCTCATCGAATTCTGTGTTACTGCGATAAATAACTGTTGCCCTGTTCTACTATCAAGCCAATTTTACTCTATTTAAGCGTGATTTTTAGACCCAGTGTCAGGTTTAATGTGTTTGTCGGTGTAATTCTTTATAATTTCATATTATCTTTTAAAATGAAGAGAATGTTTCTGATTATGTATATGTATCGTATGATTACGTGGTGCTGCTTTACAATACATGAAGATTAAAATTGCTTCCGACTCTCTACACTCACCCAAACCACGTTATCTAGCCTGTTCCGATACAACAATGTTTCACAAAGTTTGTTTGATAAGGCAAAGGTGTCTGATAATTATTCAAACATCCATAACGACATGAAACTACTAATCGGCTGATTTCAGCGGTATCAAAATATTAATGGCTCGCTAAGTTAACAATCTTAACCTCCCGCAACTTATAACATAAACAAACGATGACTTTATCGTTATTTAACAATTGTATAAAGAGCGATACTGGAGATGTTTATCATTTAATATGTTAATTTTAATGTTTGGTTCTCAGAATAAGGTATACATGTAATTGTTATTGACTCTAAATAAACGTTGGCAACTGAACACTGCCAAGGTTATGCCTATGCTTCTTAAAATATATTGGGAAAGAAATGCCGCCATTCGTATATATATACATGTGTGTTTATTATCGGTACACTTTTGTATACTTACAGCTTAGTTATAGCCCTTTGTGGTGACTGCGAATATATTCCAGTAGGCACAGGTTTCTAGGCTTCGAAGGTTATCTAAAATCACTCATGCATCTATAGTTCGAGGAGCAAAATTGATCACCGCTCATGAAAAATTCCTCAGTGCAAAGATCTAATTAGAATGATCTTCATCATAATGTAGTGAGATGTCTTCAAATACAGCAGAATAATGTCAAATCCGGAGATCGTGGCGGTATACCAACCTTCTGGAAAGATACCAACAATTTTTTGTTTACCCATCCACCACAAATCTAATACAAAACGCAATCACAATCCAGTCAAAAATCTATTTTCAACATCTTATCCTTCTCGACCCAAGTTATCCTTCGTTAATACCCGATCAAAACATCTCGGCACTCGTGAACAAACATCATTTGTCTCCTGCTTCTGCACTACCAGCCACCCTTAGCGACATGCTAATTGAATTATCCTTCGAGATTCGGCTAACATGTGCGCAATCCGGAGATCATTCGGCGTCGCGTCGCTCTCTTCCAATCAGTTTTTAGCTTTCCGAGTTTTGACGATGAAAAGAAGAGTTATTTTCCTCGTGGCACCAAATCAGTTGACAATCAGATCCATCTAACTGTTTTGAGGTTGCTCTATAGCCTGTTCATCCACGAGAGCTCTTGGATGCATTGATAGTGGTACTTTGTCCCATCTGAAGAGGCAGATAGTGTGAACAATAGGAATCACATCAGGAGCGATTCCGTGACAATAGCCCACCAGTCCGTTACATGCAATTTATCGGCTTGAGGCTGGTGGCGTGTAGTCTGCTCGCGCGAACCGAAGTGCGCAGAAGCAAAAATAGACGGTTTAATAGTCCACTGTTGCCCATAAAGTTGGAATAATTAAAAAAAACTTCTTTTCATTGAAAGATTGAGCCAATATGATTCTTGAAAGAAACAGTTGATATCTTCTCGGAACTTTATTAATCAATCATAGAGATTGATCAATAAAGTTCTGGAAAGATATAAACTTTATATATCAAAAAATAATCGTGATGTCACAATCGTTTCATAAAAAGAGGTAAAGAAAAAATAATCCCAACTTAATGGGCAACAGTGTATATAGGAAAAGTGGACTCTGCATTTAACATGAATCAGTTTCCTCTCATTCCATTTTGAGATCACCATGTAGATTATAATTATGTCAAATTTTCGTTTGTCATATCATGATAATGAAAACGATACACAGGAATGAAACTTATCATAATCAAGTGACTTGAATTAATTGTTTTATACCTTACGTTAATTGTCATTTGGGTAGAGCTTATTATATGTTAAGAGTGTATATACACGACGGCTACTAGAAAAGAGGATCAATCACGTTTGATAGGTCAGGACATCTTAAGGAATATGTCTGACACAGAATATTACAATGGTAGAATATTGAGTCATGATGAAATTGATTCAAAGAGCAAGCAAACTAAAGACCTCGTGAGATAGTTACTCACAAAGCTGCAGTTCGATTGTCACGATCGTGGACTCTTAAACTGATACTTGTCACTAATTAAGTTGAAAATAGGCAGATAGATAGAAAGATTTCATACTTTTAGTCTGTAAAACAAGAGTTCTTATCAACTGGAAACAATAATTGTTAACAATTAAGGCATCCTCGTTATCTCTTCAAAAAGATAAGTTAAAAAATCTCTTAAGTTAGAATAATCTCCTAAATTAGAATAATTATAATAAAGTTAGAATCATAATTCAACCTAGCAAGTAAAAAAAAAAAGCTGCTCTCGATTAAGACTATCCTTAACCCGTGGCCAGATTTAGCTTCTGAAGGTGTCCCATTGTCCCCGAAACAATACCTCTTTTCTCGCTTCCCTCTTCCCAAGTCCCCTTCATCCCTCCTTATACCCACAAATAGGACTTGGTTCATTACACTTTCACCGTGATACCAACACGAATGACCGGGTGTATTTTACAGATTTTTTTCTTGAAAGGGAAAGTGTTAGCTTGGTAAGCCTTGAGGTATAGTGTGGCGTCCTAGCAACGATATCCACCCCACTCTCGTTTCAAGTGTTGTAAACAAGTATTAGAACACAATCCGCTGAAAACTATATAGGCCAAAATAAGATGAGTTTGTCCAGGGAGATGTCAGTTATCCCTGGTTTGTCTGAGCTCATGTTTTTCATTATAAGCCTACAGTGTGTACATATTTATGTATAAATACTTTTTTTAGCAAGAACTTGAGCCCGGGTGATCGTTGTATTTTGAAGTCACCTTTATTGGGATGGATAATGTTTTGTGCGATAAATCCTTATCATTACCGTGAGAAAATGTTTATGATTATACTTATGATTATCATCATCATTATCATTTAATTGTCATTATAATTATTTGAATTATTATTTTCGATATCATTATCATTATCATCATCATCTTCATCATCAATCTCGTCATCATCATTATCATTTAATTGTCATTATAATTATTTGAATTATTATTTTCGATATCATTATCATTATCATCATCATCTTCATCATCAATTTCGTCATCATCATTATCGTCTTTTAACACGTAAACCAATTAGAAGCCTGAAGATCAATCTTTTGGAAAACTTAAAAAAATCAGTCTTGACATAATAACCGATCGTAAATACTTTCAAGAAATCAACACAATGGCAATTTCAATACCACATTCCCATAGAAACGGCTTCTTCAATTTAAACATATTATTTTAATGTTTGTAACTTGCAATAGGTGATGCACTGGGCTATTGGCCATGTTTAATCTCTTGAAAGTCTTTATGATTATGTAACATAAATATTTGAACTCGAACTTGTTTCATGATATCTTTGCTTACGATAATGTTAATTATATATTTATTAGCAGAGGCTAATCAGTATATTCACATGGAAAATTATTCATTGGATTTTAGTTTTGTTTTGCATATTTTCATACCGTCAGTAAAGAGAAGGAATTAGCCACGAATTAGGTCTCCAAAACAATATATAAATACACAGTATGAATAGCTACACTAAAATAAGTCCCACTGCCTAGAAAACAGCCGTACATTCACACAAAAATCATCCCGACTATTCTTTAAAATATTTAATTTGTTTACAAAATAAAAATAACATCTCGGTGATATAAATACATAGATTGACGAGATGGCGCTAGACCACCTTTCGTTATTTCAGGCAACCTATTGTTCTAAGAATAGTTACTCCTTACAACCATGGATATTTTTTCCATTTCTTCTTCTTCTTCATCAGTAGCAGCAGCATCGGCACCATCACCATCATCACCACCATTGTAATCATCACCACTACAATTTTTATCACACCATTCACCATCATCACCATCACCACCATTATAATTATCACCACCACCATTTTTATCACATCACCATCATCATCGTCATTATCATCGTCACCACATTTTATCATCTTCATCAGTTTTTGGTAAAATTAAGATTATATCACCTTTCAGGCTTTCCTTATCATTGAAACTTGTAAAATAATGTAAAATAGGCATGGAAGATTCTTATATCGCGATACTATTTCAAATTTTAATTATTTATATTTTTAACATTTAGTAAAATGTGTGAGGGAGAGGATGTGAACATTTGACCTCATTTTTTCTTTATGATTTGTATCCTTACCCCCACCGTCAGTGAAAAAAGGGACGGTCTTGTGATCAAAATCCCTGTCAGCTCTTTTTATTTTTCCATTCATTACAGGCGCTATCTGACATCTTTTTGGTTAGAAAACACCTCAATTTATAGCTTAGTGTCACGTGTTGGTGGAGATTAGTTCAACTTTAGTGAAAGATGGCAGGATTTGGCGGAGACTCATGGTGAGTTTTGGTTACTTTTACATTGTAGTCCCATTCGTTCATATTACAGTCGGTAAATCGACATTAAACAAATCGCAAAATAGAATCCCGAATTTAACTCGAAAGATCTGATGCAGCAACAACGACAGAAGGGAAAAAAAGTTGTGATATGTATGTCCTACTTGATGTTATGTTATCAAATCCAATATTTATTAGATTTTGTTTATGAAAGCTGAAAACAGAATTACATAGACCCCATGTCATGATGACATGAAAAAGAAGAGAAGAGAAATGAAGAGAAGAGAAGAGAAGAGAAGAGAAGAGAAGAGAAGAGAAGAGGAGAGAAGAGGAGAGGAGAGGAGAGGAGAGGAGAGGAGAGGAGAGAAGAGAAATGAAGAGAAGAGAAGAGAAGAGAAGAGGAGAGAAGAGGAGAGGAGAGGAGAGGAGAGGAGAGGAGAGGAGAGGAGAGAAGAGAAATGAAGAGAAGAGAAGAGAAGAGGAGAGGAGAGGAGAGGAGAGGAGAGGAGAGAAATGAAGAGAAGAGAAGAGAAGAGAAGAGGAGAGGAGAGGAGAGGAGAGGAGAGAAGAGAAATGAAGAGAAGAGAAGAGAAGAGGAGAGGAGAGGAGAGGAGAGGAGAGGAGAGAAGAGAAGAGAAGAGAAATGAAGAGAAGAGAAGAGAAGAGAAGAGGAGAGGAGAGGAGAGGAGAGGAGAGGAGAGGAGAGGAGAGGAGAGGAGAGGAGAGGAGAGGAGAGGAGAGGAGAGGAGAGAAGAGGAGAGAAGAGAAATGAAGAGAAGAGAAGAGAAGAGGAGAGGAGAGGAGAGGAGAGGAGAGGAGAGGAGAGAAGAGAAATGAAGAGAAGAGAAGAGAAGAGAAGAGAAGAGAAGAAGAGAGGAGAGGAGAGGAGAGGAGAGAAGAGAAGAGAAATGAAGAGAAGAGAAGAGAAGAGAAGAGGAGAGGAGAGGAGAGGAGAGGAGAGGAGAGGAGAGGAGAGGAGAGGAGAGGAGAGGAGAGGAGAGGAGAGGAGAGAAGAGAAGAGAAGAGAAGAGAAGAGAAGAGAAGAGAAGAGAAGAGAAGTGAAGAGAAGAGAAGAATATGACTCATTTAAGAGAAAAGAAAATAGGGTCTAAATGAAATAAATAATAATAATAATAATCTATTAAAGTCCACTCCAAATTTTATTAAGTTAAACCGAAAAAGGAAATTCTTTTTGCCCAATTGATCCTGAGCACGGCAGCCACTGAGCAGCACCAGATCGACTTTCCTCTATCCCTTAGCAGCAACTCCCGTCTTCTAACGTCTTGGTATGACGCGGCCAGGGTTCAAATGCACAACCTCCTGGTTGTGAGGCGGACGCTCTACTGACTGAGCCAACACATTGGTATAAATTGTAACAACAAAATTATGTCAGAAAACGGAGAGAGGAGATATTTGTATTCTCAAGAAAACATTTACTTCTTGATGATTGATGACCCCGTTTGTCAAGTAATTTTGTTGTATTTTCTTCCTACTGATGGATGTGCAGTAATATGGCTTTAAGCACAATTCAGCTCTTTTCTCTAGTAGTCCTAGAGGATTGGATGCAGAAGAAGATGACATCAAAATACTAGGTGTGGGACTGTTAGTCATGAACCTGTGCTTCACTAGTAAGGCATCTGATCCTGTATGTTATGAATAGGTTGTAACAATCTTGATTGTTTTTCATTGTTTGTTCTTTGCTTTCCATCTCCAGGATGACCGACCATGATGCGTGCATGCGAATGGGTCAAACTATCATCGAAATGATAAACGAAAGAGACGGTCTGCAAAGGAATGGATCAAACTACTCAAAGGTATGCTTAGTTATGCTGTCACAATGCTGTATGTGCAGTATACTCATCTCCTTTTTTCTGTACTTGACTGCTATCCTCTATAACACACACTCATGCAAGTACTGGGAAATTGTTTGTCTACTTATTTTAATTTACCACAACAAATCAATGTATCTACCTATTATTTGCTAGTTTATCTAAACTACGCCACCATCAAGAACTTTAAAAACGTCCCATTCGCGCATGCCCCATCCCCAATACATCGCCTTCCCAGGGTTCACTTATAGAACATGTGCCTATCTGCCTTCATTGATGTGAATCACAAAAATAAAAACCAACTAAAAACCATATACTGATATTACACTTATTGTTGTCCTCAATATCTTAACAGACCTTCATTTCTAAGGAGCGCGATCGCGCCGGCACTCCTACAGCGCTCCTAAAAAATAATCAGGAGAGTTGTTTACAGCGCTCCTTGGTTTCAATGTTTTCTTTCAGCTAGCCTTATTGTGATTAGTCTATTGACCATTTGAAACGAAAAACGCAAATTCGCGGAAAACCCCTTTTACCTCACAACTTTACATTTTTCAAGAAGAAAATCGTAAAACTTACACTATTTTTGTGACTCATTATGCATTGAAAATATATTGGGCCTCAAATCATGGTTAATAATTCCGAATATTTAGCGATATTCATCAGATTCTTAGGAAACCGGGCTCTGCCATTTTGTTTCGCTGGACCCATAGAGATCGTAACGCAACACACAACACAAATAGCAGTGAAACGATCGTATTATGCCAGCTAGGCGCCTAGTATTACGTAGACGTAATAAATTACGTAGACGTAATACTAGGCACACACACTCCAGCAACGGGTGCTACATGCGGCGAGATTGTACACACGCTGTTGTACAGTTCGAAAAAGGGGCTGGCATGTGCGCCTAAAATCGATCGATCGCGGACATGACAGCCAAGACTGAAATGTTTTCGTTGACGGCGGTACTCATCCTTTCCGTCAGGAATATGTCGTGTTCTGACACATTCCGCTGACTTTAGTCTGCTTGTCTAAGTTCGAATTTGAAGTTGGTAAATTTAAACATTTGATAATTTTTCGTAGGTCTAGCCTAGACTCTAGGGCCCATAGGGGTCTATATTTTCACTAGTAATACTGTAACAAGAACAGTGATTGAAAATTGAAGAGTTAGTCTAAATAATATTAAAATGTGTTTGTTGTTTAATGTTGTTCCAAAAACTGAACTGTTAATTTAGAAGGCTGGTGACTGTGAGACAGACTGAAGATGACGAAGTTCTTTATATCATCAGATTCATTGTAACATTTAAACTTTGAATTGAAAACATTTGAAGATTGAAATAGTTAAGCTGAATTAAATAAATTGACTGGATGATGATCAGATTGACAGATTTTGAGTATTAAGTTGAACATGAATGGTAATAACCAGCAGTATAATCACCTCCTCAAAATTAAGATGAAATAATTGACCTCTAAGTCTAAGCTAAAGTACAGTGGACCAAGCAAACTGAGTTGCAAATTCAGTTGATTATGATGATGATAATTGAGTGTACTGCAGTAACTTGAAACTTCAATAAATGAAACAACACGGTTGTCAGTCAGTTAACACTTGTTTGATATGTATTTTATTACATCATTTTGAACCCACACACAATAATACAAGGTAAAAACATCAATTTTCAAATTGAGCTCCTCACTCTTTCCAGGAGAGTTATTTGAGGAGCTCAATTTGAGCTCCTTGGCAAAACAAGGAGTGGGATTAATAGAGCTCCACCAAATTCTAGAAATGAAAGTTTGTCTTAATATATTTAAGTCCTATGTATTTTCTAGGCTTTGATTACAGTTTCATCGCTGATTATGTGTACAGATGCAGATTTACGGCGGAAAACAATAACCAAGGTCTCCTGCATTGTGGTAGCCTCAAATACACTTCCTGTCTATTCAATATCAGTGCATGGAAGGATTATGTAATTCATGTTATTTGGCCTAATGCTTGACACAGGGTTAGTATTTGAGGAATCATGTGCCTCCTCAAATATGATCGATCCCTTTTCTTTTTCCACAGATCAATGCAGAAATCCGATCCCGTATCAGAAGGTATCAACAGGATATCCAGTTACTGGATCAAAATCTCAAGAAAGCATCAAGTTCATTCCACTTGTATCCTTTGAAACAATCAAGATGTCAAATTACTATATTGCTAATGACTGCAGAGAAAATTTGTAATGATTTATGTATAAAAAAGCTGTTTTAAAGTTGACAATTCCAGGATTCACAGGAAAGATGTTTGTCTAAACTTTAGAATAACCCCAAAATTGTAAAGACATTTTATTTAAAAGAAAGAGCATGAGTGCTTATTTTTTTATTTTGATGTTCAAGAGCTAAGACCAATGAAATGACCCCTGAATGTTGGATTCTACCTTGTGACCTTGATCTTGATCCTCAGCTTAACCTACAAACAACTTGCAAAAGTTCTAACCCTGTATTCTGATAAATTAAATAAAGATAGTGTATACAGTGCTGAAACAAATGTCAGATGAAGTTTGAAATACCACCGTTTTCCTTTACTGAGATCCTGTCTGTACCTAGAACCCAGAGGGAGGCAGACAGAAGGAGAGCATTGGTCGATAACCTGAAGGCCAAGGAGAAGATCTTACACAACTCTTTCAAGCAAGACGTTTCATTCTCGGCACCTGAAAGGTAGTTACATTTTTTTTCATCACTAGATTATTATGTACATGTATGTTCATTGTCATGGTTAGTAAACAAAAAACACAGGAAACCGCAGTAGGTTTTTTTTATGTGCATTTGGCAAGAGGGGATGAAAAAGAAACATTTGCATGCAACAAAGGTCCTGTACATGGTGTATGTTCTTACTATGCATATGTTATATCGAAAAGTGAGGTGTATTATGCTTCTGTAATTAATTTTTATTTTAGACAAAGGTGCTGCAGTTTATCCTGTCATAAGTGAATGAGCCATAATTATACACAACTAGACTTCAATGACCTTGTCAGAACCAAAGGCGGGTCATTGTATAAAGTTCGCTTTACTTCGGACTTCCCCCTTCAGGGATTCACACTACATATATATTTGAAGATGGATCTTGAATTTTGTATACTCTATGATGAGGAATGGCGGTGACTAGAGACATATTACATAAACTCGATGAACTACTCTTGTGCTCGCATTCCTCATTTTAATTTCTGATGTTCTGTACATTTTGTGGATTTTATTGTTCTCTTCTTAAGTATACATCAAGCTATTGATGGAGTCTTCTATGTAAATACATGTATGCAATATTCTTTTATCCTGATGTATTCCACCATCTCAAATTAAGGAACTAAGATCTGCTTCACGGGTATGTTGAATCTGTTTTTGATTTTGTTTTGAAGAACGAGCCTCCTGCCCAGTACCTCAGGCTTTGCTCAAGATGGTTGGGGAGGTGTGAGCGAAGAAACAAGGAATCTCTCTGTCAATGAATTGCAGCAAGAACAGCAAAGAATACTTCAGGGTAAATACCACTTTAGATTTTTCCTCAAAACAAATCTTAAAATTGAATATGATTTGGTTACAATAATTATCTGTTTTCTTATATATTTACATGTAATCGTGAACTTTGATTATTCAGCGATAGAAGTGATGAGGATGAAGACAGTAATGAGAATGGTGATGATGATAATTGATGATAATGATGACAGTGATGAGGAGGATGATGGTGATATTGACTATTGATTGTAACAACAATGTTGATGGAAATAATTTAGTGACCTACTGTGAAGGATTCATCCACCTTACATGTAGTAGCAAAGTATATTATTACAATTCACCTGTAATTTCATCTGTCTATGACCAAGTAGAAATATGAAGAGAAACAAGAGAACAAATAATGAATAGACTGATTAGAGAAAGATAGATTAGGAGAAATGTGGAACCAAGAAAGGAATGAAAGAGAAGATGGTTTAATAGAGGAGTAACGCAAATTATAATAGAAGATGAATAGGATAGGAAGAATAAAACAAGGATGAGAAGGAGAAGATAAAAGAATTTAATATTATCAATCTTTTTCTTCCATTTTCTTTTAGTACAAGACCAAGGTCTAGATGAGCTGTCGGCCATCATCAACAAACAGAAGAGACTAGGACAAGTGATCGGAAATGAGGTGGATGAACATATTGGTAAGAATGCAAAAAACAACACAACAACCAACAACAACCAACAACAACCAACAACAACCAACAACAATAATACAATAAACAAACAAAAAACAAAAAGAACAACAGAAAAAACAAAAAGAACAACAAAAGAACCAAAAGGAAACAAACAAACAGCAAAATAGAAACCAAACAATAACAAAAACATCATTAGAGTACATGTGACACCAAGTTCATATTTCTGTATGACTATTCCCAGGCTCAAAGATCAAGATGATTCGCAGCATTTTGCCCTGATGCCCTCCATGCATTCTCTCGTCAACATGCTTTTAAATAAAAATGATAAAGCCTTGGGCCATTATCCTTTTGTTATTTCTATTGTTTAGTATGGCTTTTATGCCCCTCTATTACTCTCCAAAGCAACCAAGTGACATACCCCTAAAACTTACACCAACCAAAGCCCTTTCTACATGCAATGTACAGTCAGCAGTTGATTTGCTGAGTTTGCTGCCCTCTGCTGGTAGCTGCCAGTATAGAGATCTTGCACATGATGTTGGCATCGATAGCATGAGTGTAAAGTCTAGTTTATGTGGAGTGCACTGTAGTTTAACATACATTTTGACTGATATATTGCAAGTACCGGTAGTGACATGTTGTTCTCCAAGAGGTTGAATGTTATAGCTTCATACGTTCCATTCCATTGCTTTGGAATTGCAATTTTAACTAACTTTTCACTCTATGATAATGCACATTTAGTGTTATGTGGTCATACTGTTCTAAATCAGACAAAACAACACTTTCACCCACATGTTGTTTTCCAATAAACTCTCCTGTTTGAAATTCTGAACATTGATATATTTACATGTAGCACTTGCGTCATATTTGAAATCATTCATTTACCATTGAATGTGCTTGAGTTGTGCACTTACATTATGAAATGGCAGAGTGTCGGTACATAAATGTTTCACAATGGTAACCTTTTCAGCCACCAATGCCAATGTTATTGATGTACAAAGATTACTAGCTGACCTGGAGGTTAGGTTAAAAATATTGTAGAAACCTTGAAGTTTGAAGAACATTGTTATGGAGAGCCTGCTGTGTCCTTGCAATATTTGCTTGTGTATAAAGAAGTTTTTATCCCCTAACTTTAGCCTACAATGTACTTCAATTCGTATGGTAGACTGTTTAGTTTTTGTCACACTGCTTATTAAGATCTTGCCTTCTGAAAGATTAAACCTTTTCTGTATCTTGTGGGCAATTCCACGGTAACGGAAGGACACTCAGACAAGATTTTTGAACTTCAGGTTCATACTAAAAGAACTGTTTTATTAGTATAAGATGTGAAACAGTACAGATATAATACCTATATAAGTGCCTTTAATTCTCCCCCAAAAAATTGTCATTATAGTTAAGTAGTTTAAGTATGTGCATATTAATTATCTCGGTAACGGAAGGACATAAAAATGGACATGGTTTTTCCAGTTAATTAGTGTTTATCCAAACTTTGTGAAGTTGATGAAGCTTTCCACTTGACTGAAACACATTTTGTTCCCCATAGTTTAATACATACTAATAAAACATTTCTTTTAGTACGAACCTGAAGTTCAAAAATCTTGTCTGAGTGTCCTTCCGTTACCGTGGAATTGCCCTTGTAGCAATTTATTACTTTATGTTTAAAGATTTTCTTTATATTTATTTACATTTGCCACAAACTTACATGTAGTCCAAAATGTCTGCATGGCAGCTTTTCATGGTCTGGAGAATATTTCAATATGAAATCTAAATATCTGTTAAAATTTACTCACTAGATATGATTTGATTCAGTGCTTTGATGTTTAAAATATTTTTATCTTCTGAAGCGTTAAAATGTAATGTCACAATCTAAACATAAATCAAACAGTCACAGTCGAGAATAAATGTTCTTTGCAGCATTATTGTGAGGCAAATTGACAATTCTTAATATGCCAGGGGAGCAATTATAAAGGAAATTAGATAAAATGCAAATAGAGCATGAAAAGCAAGCATGCCTGCCAAGAATTCAATTTGCAACCAGGAAAAAGATATGTATCGAAATGTGTATTTATGTCTGCACCGAGTAATGTATACATTGTATGCAGCATGATCAACAGGAGGCAGTGGATTTATTGGGTATGCTGCCCTCTGCTGGCAATTTATTGCTAGTTGAGAGAGAGAGAGAGAGAGAGCTAACACTTTTGTTTCCTTCTGTACAAACAATACTAGACTTTAATGTGGAATGCACTACACACTTGTTCACATGATACATTAGGTCTATTTTTCATATAAAGTATTAAATAATCAAGTTCATGAAATTGTGATGAACTAGGATTATTTCATGATGAATCAAGAAATGTTGATGGTCATGGTAATTGGTAACAATATTAATCAAATCATTTATAATTCACTGCAAGACAACATATATAAAAATCAGTGACAAATTATTGCTGTAATTTTTAAAACAGTATGGGATAATTAATAATAATCAAATACTATCGTCAGTACAAAATCAATAAATTTTTAAAATGTACAAATTTGAATCCAAAGATAGGGCACTGTGGAAGATTGCTGAATCAGTTTGATGGGACTACAATGTTTTAACCTTTTGGGTATGGGAACCATGTTACTCCTTTATTAAGGCTATGGGAATGTGAGAATTCAATAACCAATGGGTTGAAAAGACTGAAATACGACGGATAGAATAAAGAAATGTGGCTCAAACACTATGGAAAGCTACATGCCCTGAATTGTGCATGAACTTCAATACTTGAGATCAAGTCATCTGTTTAGAGCCAGAAGGGCATTAACTCTTTGTAATATAATATGAGTTAACGTCCTTCTTGCTCCAAACAAGCAAAGTGTAGACTACAATCCCAGCTTTGGGCTGAAGTCACACGGTTAAGAACACCTGAGAAAGTCTGCCCTTTTGTTGCCAATTTGAAAGCCATCAGAGGTTTCATGGCGCTAAATAGACATGAATACAATCATCACACTCGAGACCGGTGGTTGTTGTTACAATCCGAAACAGAGACCGGTCTTTTCTCGGTCCAAATCCCAGCTGAGCTGCCCAAAAGACTGCAGCGAAAAATAAACGTTTGTTCAAATGTGGCGTGCACAAGGGACTGAATGCTATGGGGAAGAGGGAGAGAAAATGGAAGTTTCCCCTTGTGCGTCTTGCCCTTTGTGTTTGTTCCTAACGTGGTCTAGAATCGATGCCAACGTAAACCTTTTAAGAGTCGATTGGTGGCATCGAGGAGACACATTCATGTGGTGTGGTAAGACCCAGTTTCTGATCCACAATAAATATTTTGAACATGAAATGTCCATTACCAAATCAGTCTGGACGTATTTAAGAGGGTATGAAGAGTAAATTTGTAGAGTAAAAATAAACAAGCTCCTAAAGTCATGGTTAAAATGTAGTCTGCATGAAATACAATTTTGAGAAATAGAAACAAGAAGAAATGAAAAAAAAAAATTTAATGGATCAGAAAGCTATACTAAACTGAAGGATTTGGCAGGGAAAAACAAAGTATGGGGAAAAAGAAAAAGTAAGAGTTAAAGAGAAGAAAGAGATTGCTGTTGGAAGATTTCCAGGACATGGGGCAAGGAGAAAGATGAGTAGAAGCTAAAAAAAGAAAAAAGATGTACATTTTTTAAAGATGGCATGACTCAGTATTGTGATGTATTTAGATTAGACAATAACAGATTAACTTCATGATATCAAATGAAAAGTGCATAAAATGGAGGAGGAGGGAGAAAGATAGATAGATAGATAGATAGATAGAGAGAGAGGTAAGGAGAGAGAAAGTGAAAGAGCGAGAGAAAGTTTGTCCAAATACATGTATTTGACATGTGCTCAACACACCTGTGTTCAATGAAGTCTCAATAAATGACATTTATGACTTATGCGGCATATTTTATGCTATTTTATGGTAAATATTTTCATGCTCTCACTAAATTGTCATTTTCACTGTTGTTTATTTTTACACCATTTTAATTACCACGTCGTCCTTAATGGCTGATTTTTTTCTTCCTTTTAATAAATCAAAGTCTGTAGACATCAAAACATCATGAGGTCATCCCTCATACCGGTACTCATAATTATTATAGTCCGTAATCCAGGACACTCTTCATCTCTATCACTCACTGATAGCCTCTTTAATTGACCATAAAATGGCGAATCTCCTGCAAACATGAGTTACATTAATCACCTTCCATTTCCTGGAGGGTTGCTGATGACACTGTACCACTTGTTTCCCTGTCTGGTGGGCGTAGCTCAGGGGAAGGGGAAGGTAAAGGGGAGGGGAGATTTGGAAGGGTTGTGGAGATTGGGAAGGGGAGGGGAGATTGGGAGGGGTAGGGGAAATTGGGAGGAGTAGGGGAGATTGGGAGGGGGACGGGAGATTGGAATGGGTAGGGGAGATTAGGAGGGGAAGGCGAGATTGGTAGGGGAGATGGGGAGGGGAAATTGGGAGGGGTAGGGGAGATTGGGAGGGGTGTGGAGATTGGGAGGGGTGTGGAGATTGGGAGGGGTGTGGAGATTGGGAGGGGTGGGGAGATTGGGAGGGGTGTGGAGATTGGGAGGGGTGTGGAGATTGGGAGGGGTGGGGGAGATTGGGAGGGGAAGGAGAGATTGGGAGGGGGAGGGGAGATTGGAAGGGGTAAGGGAGATTGGGAGGGGTACGGGAGATTGGGAGGGGTAGGGGAGAGGGGGAGGGGGAGGGGAAGGGAGTGGGGAAGGGGAGGGTGCAGGTGGAAAGGGAGGGGGAAGACAACATGTGCAAACATTTGGCTCTAGCTTACAAATGTATTTTCTGCAAAGCCTGTCCATCTCTCAACATCTACTCCTGCTCCAGAAGACACTCCAAGTTATATTTCATTAGACGAGTGCAACCACAATGTGAGCCAGAATGAGTCAGATAGTGTAGCTCTCGTTGACAGACATGGTTTGACCAGCCATTGGGCTCCCCCTCCTTCTTGTCATTCAGAATAAACAAGGATTCATGGAGAAAAGGCTATGAAATGGGAGGAACAGAAGGAGATACTCGCATTAGGGATAGACAAATGAAGTGAAACATAATTTTGCACTAAGACAGTGATTGATTTCACTCACTACACACTGTAGTTCATAAAACCTCTCTGCAATTCTCAGAGTATCTATTCTTAGATTAGAGGTAGAAGAAGTTTCTTGTCTGTAACTTGCATTCATGTAAACTTTAATCAGTTCCATCAATATCTCTTCTATCTTTATGCTGTAAGACACACAGGTCGTAGTTCTTGAG